AATCATTCTGCGGGGATGCAAGTGAGCATGATTCCACCACCTCCGCCGATGCCAGCTACAGGGTCAATCTCGCAGACACCGGGTGCTCAAACGTCCTGGGCCTCCAGCGTGCCCATGATGCCTTTTCCAGCGGCCCCGGCACCAACCGCAGTTCCTGTGCCCCAAGAAGACCCAGCCAGAGAAGGGAAAGCGCAGAAGAATTTGAATCGCCTACTGAAAGAGATGAAAAAAGAAGAGGACACTTTGTCCCCGAACCTTCAGTCAATGGCGCACGAAATGAAAAAACAAGACGAGAAAAGCAACATGCAAGGACTCCATACTGCAGTACGAGCTCTGGGATACGCAAAAGACGAACTTCTGGAAGCCGAAAATGCAAGAGTACAATTACTCACGCAGTGGAAGCATTTCTTGCAGCAATCTGTTATCAAGTGGAAGGAGTTCACTATGAATTTTCAAGCATCAGACTCTGCCCATCAAGCCAATGTTCATGCAGCCCGTTTAGCAGTTCGCAAAGCCCAACGAGCCTTCGATCTTGCGTCGAAACGGGAACACATTGGCAAGAACGAACCATGGCCAGTGTCAGACGAGGAGGAGGAAACCACGGAAGATATGTCCGTGGACCCCAAGGAAGAGAGCGCACAAAAAATCCACGATGGGATGAGCAGCATTGTGACAAGTCTGGAAGAGCTCTCTTCATCAGCAGACCTCCTCGAACAGAGGGTGAAACGGCCAAGGACTTCAGGCACCGGGGACGAAGCTCAGGTGCAGTCTTTTGGCAAGGCCGGCGACACGTGACCTGTGGGTACGGTCGCCAGGGGCCTGAGCCCTGGCCAGTGATGGACAACCTTGCCGTCCGTCTTCACTGGAACCATTCCGTCACTCAAGAACGAGATTTTCTGCCGGAGTGGCAAGCCCAAATTCATGCTTCTACGCTTGCGGCGGAGCTTGGAAACCACGAACAGCTTGTTGTGGATGTCTTTGCGCTTCCTCTTCGACATAAATCACGTAGTGCCAAAGTGACCTTTGATGAGGAGATAGTTGTCTTCATGGGTTTGCAAGATGACTTGACCTTTCACCAGGTGACCATGCAGCACAACACGCTCTCTTCATGGCTGGGGAAGCCATGGACTGTTCGAGCGCCGTTCCCTTTTGAATGCAAGAGTGCATCTGAAGCTGATGACCAAGTCAGCCTCATGGCACGACGACCAATCAGGCAAGTTCCCTCAGATGAAGGTAGAGCATCTGAGACAGCCACTTCTTCTTCCACATCTAGTTCCCGACCCTCACAATCTTCCTGGAGACAGACGGTGCTTGTGCTCTTGAATGGACAGATGCTGCCAGCACGACTTCCCTGGAATGATGGAGATGCACTTGCGGCGCAAATTTCGCAAGTAGTAGACATTGACACTACGGAGCTCGTTGGAATACACTTTGTGCCCAACAGACCTGCTGATCTGGTACAACGGGACCTACAATGTCTACTTCTGCAAGTCCGCAATGAGTTTCGCCCTTCTCATTTCGCGAAATTGATCCTGATTGATCTTGAAATTTATGAAAGGAACGAAATTCTGCCGGGCGCCTTCCGAAGATTCTCCAAATGGATGCCAATGACCTTGAATAGGGTTTCTGCCTTCAGGCTGCTTGATTTGGAATCACTCTTGATTGAGCATTCGGATGACAGCCGTCTCTGGCACAACAATGTGCTCGTGCCAGATGGACAAATTTCACCAATGCATCTCGGAGATGGTGATTTCATCAAGATCGTAATTGGACATCGTGAAGGAAGTTCGGCCTGTGATGAGACGGACGTCTCTTCTTTTGCTCTAGAAAGTGACATTGGAGAAAGTGATTCGATCAGCACATTGCAAACAAGTCACCAGACTCAGGTCTTCATGCCCAGCTATGCCGATGTTGATCCGCCGTCTTTGCAGGCCGTGTGTATCTCCGGCAGCTGTGACACATTTCATGGCCAACCACGCACTCAGAGCATGAACGAGCCCTTTTCATTTTTTGAAAGCCGAGACAGCAATCGGGCCCGTGAACAGCCAGGTAGACCGCCAAGGGTTGAAAGCCCATTATGGCATCAAGAGATCTGGGATTTGCTCTGTGACGAAGGAGCCGTCGAAATGGACGAAGAAGGCCCCATCATCTATGTGCGATCTTTCTTCATTTCTCATACCAACACTCCAATCAACAGGGTCTCCAGACCGTTGAGATTTGATATTGAACATGAAGCATGGGAAGCCAGTGTGCGCTTTATGTGGGAAGATTTCGTTGATCAGCAGGCGCCTCTGGAGCTCTTCATTGTCCATCCTGATCCACCAACCACCATCTTTGAAGGTACGGTTGCTACTGTCTTGGTTGTACAGCATCCACTACCACAGAAAGCAGCGATTGTGGTAACAGCTCTTCCCGATGCGCCAGAAGTCAGACACGCACGACATGTAGCTCTTTCGGCAGATCCTGTAGTGACACAGGACCAGCTTGTTGCTGTAGCTGAAGTGCAGGGTCTTTGCAACACTCCTGGTTGTTCGACTTGGATCGGGTCGAGAGAACTCCCTGCAGATGAACATGTCAGAACACATGATGGACTGGGCTTGCAGATCAAGATCCCTGCCCAGCGACTGGAGATGACACAGCACAGCACTGACCTCATTGCAGCACGATCTTTGCAAGCAGCTGGTCACCATGACAGTGATCAAGAAGATGAGCATGACGAACTCACTATGATCTCGCTTCAATTTGACAGTTTCAAAGGGGTTCTCTCGCAGACCATCCGTTTGTTGAACACTGATCCAACTGAGCCACCCGAATACAATGTTGAAATGCAAGGGCTCAATGGCCATCAGAGAGCGACGCAAGAGAATCCTGCCGAGGGACGACACCTGGATGAGCTCCATGATGCATGGTTGAGGGCCTCGCCAGTTTTTGCCGTATCTGTTGATGAAGCTGCTGTCACATTCATGTCCTGGTTTGTACATAGCCATTTTTGGACTACCTGTGATAGCCCGCGTATGCTTACCCTGTTCCCACAAAGGCATGATTGGGACAGCCAAATACGTTCCCTTTGGAGGGATCGAATGCAACCGGGCCAACCCTTTGAGGTCAGCATAGTTTCTCCAACAAGTGAAGATGACAGCAGAAGCTGCAACATTTTGATCCATCAAGGAACGACCAATCGGCACAGAGGAGTTATGTTGAGCACTTTTTACCATGCTGCCACCTCCCAGCTTTATCGAAAGCGTGCCTTAGTTGTCCCCAGTAGGATATCGTTCACCGATCTAACCCGCTTTGCAGACTTCCTGATTGAATGCCACAGTAGGACCATTCTCTGTGTAGGGTTTTTCGGCAGTGAATCCTTGGATGATGATCGACCAATTTTCCCGCGACAAGGGGCGCATCTAGAGCTCCACCTAGTGGAATGGGAAGTTGTCCCTACTGCTGCAGGGCAACCAACGCACCACACAGAACATGATGACTCTGATGCCACATCTCTCATGCATGCTACGAGACACAGACTGGCAAGAGCGCCACGTGTCTGTGGCATTGATCTGCCTGCACAGCCACACGAGAGCGGACCGTTTCAATTCCAAATCAATGCTCCTGAATTTGTTCCAGGCATACCGTGGGACCTTCATGAGCATGATGAATTTGTCCAAGATCTTTTCGAGGCATGGAATCAGGTTGCGTCCGTGTGGGAAGAGGATGAGCGCGCAGGGATGATTTTAGTCTGGTTTGTCGACCACCAGTGGCCATATCCGCATGGACATGCTCCTAGGAGGGTCAGGCTTCTATCCAACTTGCACGAATGGCGCATGCAAATTTGGCAGGCATGGCAGGATTGTATAGTTCCTGGACACGAACTGGAATATCAACTTGTCACGCCACATCCTCACACGCCAGACCGTAGGATTGCAGCACATGTTGTTGTCATTCAAAGACCCAATGAGCAATGGGTGACCAACATTGTCACTTTGTTTGATGAACGTACATCGCAGACCACGGTCTCCCAGTTGGCCATCACGACACATGAACACATCCTCCTTGATAATTTGGTGAGGGCCTTTGGGATTCATGAGATGTGCTTTGGAAGGACTCCCTCACTGCTTTGTCATGCATGGTATCGAGATCTAGCACTTGCATCAGGCGCACCCATACCTGGCAGGAGTGGCATGAGCATTAATGTTCTTGCTCGGCCTAGACCAGCCCCCATGCCTTTTGACAATAGGGAACCTGATAGCAATAGTCTTCTCACTGTGCCATTGCCAGGTGAAGCCCCTCATGCATTCGAAATGCCATTGACCAAAGGGCAGCACTGGAGCATTGATGACCATGCCAAACCACTTGTTTGCGCGACAAAACCTTTCATCGAGCTTAGACTCCCGGAAAGACCTTGTAGTGGAAGACATGATCAGAGCACAGTGACGCCTCCACAGCTGACGCCTGTGCCCATTCCGCCAACCATGCCTGCACAGATGGGCTTTCCAACATTTGTAGGTGAGATGCTCAATGAATTGCAAGCGACCATGCTTCGGACTGATGGAGAGCAACAGGGCTTCGTTGTTCGTGTTTGGTATCTTCATCATACCCATCGCCGAATGTCTAGGATTGCCAGGTACTTGCATCTGTCAGGGCCACCCCATTTGTGGCAGCCTAGGATAGTAGCTCTTTGGTCTGATCGTCTCATCCCATTTGAAGCAATCGCTATCCATCTTGCCAGGCCGCGACCATTTCGAACGATGCATGAACAACACCTTGCTTTCGATTTGATTGTGTCGCAAGGAATGCACGAACCACGCAAGTCCGGACTGATTTCAGTTTTTCCCTCACCTGCTGATCCAACATTCCCACAGTTTGCTGCCGCACTCTCTTTTCGACCACATGTTAGTGGTGAGTGGTTGATTAGGAAATTGGCATTTCAGCAAGCCTGTCAGGTGCATAGATGCCTGCTTTTTCATCGATGGAATGAAATTCCTTTGTCGGCAGAGCTGGTTCATGAGATGTCCAATGGTGACAGTTTTGACCTACATGTGTACCGAGACGGCCCTGGCCAGCAACCACCACAGCAGCAACAGCAGCTACCACAGCACCTGCCGGAAGCGGAAGCAGGCACAGAGGAGGGCCCAGTGCTCTTGCAGCTTCACAGTATTCTGCAGATTGACACAGCCCTCCACAATGATTCCGCAGTAGCGTCAGATGAACAGTCCATACAAGAAGATACTCTGGAATATCCAATTCGTCTTATTGGCCTAGGTGAGCTTAGGGACCAGGTGCCTTCCTTTGTCACCATCATGGATGTGCCCACTGAAGCCAGTGTCCAGCAGGAACTGCGTTGTTTTGGTCATGCATGTACAGTTGTAGTTGCCTCCAACCAAACGCTTGCGGTTTGCATTCCAGAGAGTTGGCCTTTCGAGGAGGACAAGCTTCTGCTCATGTTTACTGACATGCAACAAACACTCCCGAACGAACAATCGGCCTTTTTGACGCTCACTGAACAAATGGATCTCTCAGAAGTACAGCTGATGTCCCTACTGCACAAATTTGGCTTTGAGAAAGCTGTCATTGGTGCAAAAAGACAGTACAATGCCACATTTTTGGAGGTCACTTTTCAACAAGCTGGAGGAACGCTTGAATCGGTTCCTCAGACAATTAAGCACCAGAAACCCTGGCCAGCAAGACCCCGTGGTGACAGAACCAAATCAGGTCCCATGTGGAAGGCACAATTGACTGCAGCAGTCCCACCATGTCTCTTAGACCTAGGACTGTCTCGCGAGGAACTTGATGCCTTCTTCAACTGCGACACTGATTATTTGTGCCGTATCACGGAAGGCCTTCCACTTCTGCCAGTGACTATTGAAGCCATTGCTGAGCTGAAGCAGCATTCGCATTTTGACCGTTTAGTAGTGTATGCAGATGGATCGTCCCAATCCAGGCACAAACATGTGGCACCTGCACTGAATGAAGAGCTCGATGTGCCGGATGCATGGTGTTTTGTGGTTCTGGGCGAAACCTTTGTTGACAACTCCAAGTCAGAGTGCACACTGTTGGGTTGGCACGCCCATCAGGTTCGCTGCGACCCCCAACATCCATGGCACATTGGCGCCCAACACGTTGGCTCAGCCATTGCAGAACGTGAAGCCCTCACATGGGCTTTCATCTGGAGACTAGGGCTTAACAGCTGCCTCCCTACAGTGTTTCGCAGCGATTCCCTCCTTACCATTGGTCAGGCAGAAGGTTCCATAGGCCCAGCCGTCTGTGATCAGTCATTCCAAGCCTTGCGAGGTTGCTATCAAATTTTGAAAGCTGCTTTAGGAGATGATGTTGAACTTGATCATGTCTTCGGGCACCTTGCTGAACCATGGAATGAACTGACAGATGCACTTGCGAAGCAAGAAGCCAAATCAAGCTTTTTCTTGCCGCGGCCAAAGATCGATATTCCAAAGCTGTTGCCGAAGATTCCGTTTCTTTGGATGATCTTTGATCGATATCATGGTTTGCCGTCTTTCACAGGCACAGGGTTCGATATCAGAGCGCCGGCACTTCCCCCAAAAATGCCACCAGCAAGGCAAGACATGCCTCTCATGAAGTCCATCAAGCCAGTGAGATACAAAATCAGTATTGCCACAGCCAACGTGCAGTCCCTAGGAGCTGCTGATCAAGGTTTTGCTGGAAAGCTGGATTACCTCCGAGAGCAATTTGTCTCCTTGCACCTCAATCTACTGGGGATCCAGGAGTCACGCGCTTCGGAAGGGGTGTCAGTAAAACAAGGGGTCCTGCGCCTCTGCTCGGGAAGCCTACAAGGAAAGTGGGGAGTTGAGCTTTGGATCAATCTCCAACAACCTTTTGCACACATTCAGAAGACTGCCCTCTTTTTCCGCAAGCAAGACTTCCATGTCGCTCATCGAGACCCTCGCCGCCTCCTTGTTCGCATTCAAAATGACCACTTCCAGTCATGGTGCCTGGTTGCCCATGCGCCGCAGAGTGGCATTGCATTTGGAGACAGGCAAATCTGGTGGGACGAGACCAAGGAGATTCTGCATCGTTCACTGTTTCCAGGAGAGCAATTTTTCATGTGTATTGATGCAAATGCCGCGCCGGGTGTACCTGATGGTGTCAGTGTCTTTAATCAGGGGTTTAAGCATTCCAGTGGAACTCCCCTCTTGCGCGACTTCCTGGACGATTTTGAACTTTGCTTGCCAATCACGAGTGCTGCACATCAAGGGTCGGTCACCACATGGACTTCTCCGGATGATGCCGAATACACGATTGACTATGTTGCGATCCCAAGAGTTTGGCAATCAGCCTGCAATCACTCTTGCGTCCTGACAGATTTCGACTTAGCCAATGTCAACCTGGATCACTCGGCAGCTGCCATTGACCTTCAGTGGACGCAGGCTTCTGCACACCATGCAAGGGTCAAGACGGGCGCTCCTGGATACGATCGGACCAAAATTGACAGAGGAGTCGAAGATCTCCTGAAGCAACCCATCTCCTGCACATGGAAGGATGATGTGGAATCACAAGCCACAAAGATCGCGGAGCACTTTCGCACGCAGTTGGCGACGCGCTATCGAAAGAGTCGGCATGGCCCCAAAAAGCCTTATGTCTCTGACAAGCTATGGCAGTTGAGGCTCCAGAAGATTGCGCTTAGAAGAACTCTCCGCGACTGCAGAAGTCTCCTCCGTAGAGAAGCGCTGTCCAGAATTTTTCTGGCATGGAAACAGACGCCTGATGCTGAGGAACAGATCAACCTGTCCTTCAACTATGGCACTTCGTTGCGGATTGGGAGCTTCCACAGATACATTGAATTTGCCTCTGTTGCAGCGCAACTCCGAAAGGAACTGCAACATAGCAGAAACCACAAGCTGCAAGAGGTCCTGCAACAGATCGACCCTTCCACGCCTGCCTCGAAGATTCAGCAAATGCTCAAACCTTTCAAAGGACCAAGTAACAAGTTGCGACAAGGACTTGCACCCCTGCCTTTGATTAGGGATGAGAAAGGAGATTTCTGCCGAACAGCTGAAGATGCGTTGCACCGCTGGATTACCTTCTTCGGCAATATGGAAGGAGGCACCAGAACCTCCCAAGAAGACCAATGGAGTCAATGGAGAGATAATCTCATTTTCTTTCTCCAGAGTGATTTGCACATTCCAGTTGAAGAAGTTCCCTCGCTCTGTGACTTGGAACAGGCATGCAGGTTATCGGCGGCTGGGAAGGCCACGGGCCTTGACACCATCCCGTCAGAAGTTTGCAAATACTGCCCTAGAGCGGTTGCCCTTCACCTGTATAGCCTCATGCTCAAGACATGTGCCCACGGCCAAGAAGCACTAGCTCACAAGGGAGGGATCTTACTCCCCATCTGGAAAGGGAAGCAACTCAAAGATCAGTGCTCGGCCTTTCGCTCCATTTTGTTGTCTTCTTGTTTGGGCAAAGTTATGCACAAAGCGGTTCGCACCAAACAGCTCGACATCTAACAGCACTTCTTGCATCATCAGCAGCTGGGAGGCCGTCGCGGGGTGCCCGTGACGTTAGGTGGGCATCAGGTCAGAGCCTTTCAACGACTCTGTGCACAGCGCGGCCAACCATCAGCGTTACTGTTTGTGGACTTACAAGAAGCATTTTATCGGGTTCTGCGACCCCTAGTTGTTGATGGCCCCATCGACGATGTCACCATCGCAACAATGGCAGCGAGGATTGACCTCGATGATGGTTTTTTGCATGACTTACGTGCCGCCTTGCAACAGCCTTGTGCCTTGGAAGAAGCAGGCATCCCGAGCCACCTTCGACGCGCGATCAGAGCCTTGCACACTGACACATTCTTCCAGTTGCCGACACAACATGACCAAGTTGTCACGCAGATCGGCACCCGGCCGGGCGATTCGTTCGCGGATGTCATATTTGGCTTTTTGATGGCCAAAGTGCTTCAGAAGTTTCAACAGGTCATGGACGCTGCGGGATTCCTCTTGTCTGTGCCGAAGGAAGATTCGCTTGCCTTTGAAGCAGTGGCACCAAGGGACAATCTTTCATTTGTCGGGCCATGCTGGATGGATGACCTCTGTGTTTGCCTAACGGCAACCACGAATGAAAAACTCGACTCCGCCTTGGGCTTTGCCACCGGAGTACTCTTGGACATTTTCAAGAGCTATGCGATGACACCAAACCTTCAACCAGGCAAGACAGCGGTGCTCATTTCCCCTAGAGGACCAGGCACAAACCAATGGAAGAGGAAAATGTTTGGCCCTATGTCGGATGGATGCTTCTTGTCGCTGGGTGAACACCATTCATACAGAGTCCCCATCGTGACGGAATACACCCATCTTGGAGGGAAAGTGCATTTCTCTACGAAATTGAGGAAAGAAATCAAGACACGACTTGGACAAGCCCATCAAGAATTCAACAAGCACAGGAAGTTGCTCTATCAAAACCGACACTTCCCGATTGACAAGAAGAAGGAGCTCTTCCAAAGCTTGATCTTGAGCCGCCTACTCTTTGGTTCGGAGACGTGGACATTTTCCGATCAGAAGACCAGAGCATACCTACACGGAGGCACCATGGGTCTTCTCAAACGTCTCCTGCACCAACCTGGACACTGTCCAATTTCTGATGAGGAAGTTTTGTACAGAACCAGAATGCCCTCACCAACAACCATGCTACGAACCCGCAGATTGCGATACTTGGGTTCACTTTTTGCTGTTGGTGATACTGCTTGCTGGGGGCTGCTCAATCAAGATCGAGATTGGCTATCACTCGTCCTTGATGATTTCAGATGGCTATGGCATCAACTCCACCACTGTTGCAAGTTGGGCGACCCTGCGGCCCACCTACCCAGATGGTTGGAAGTGATCCGCTTTCACAGAGGATACTGGAAACGCCTGATCCGTAGAGCGACTGAACACTCCATCGGCATCCAAGACAGAGAGTACCTGGTGGCCATTACACACCAGAATTTTCTCGATCATTTGACAAAGGGGCATTTTGTTGAACTTGCATCGCATGAGACATTTAGCCGACGTTCATCTCCACAAGCCTTCGGATGTATGCAATGCCAGAAAGCATGCCGTTCTTTAGGCGGAGAAGGTGCTCATATGCATAGAACACATGGAGAAGCACACCCGGTCAGAAGCTTGATGGGTAGCACGCAATGTGCTGCCTGCCTGACGGAATACTATACCATGGGCAAACTCAAAATGCACCTCATCCGATCGTCGCAATGTCGCACAACATTAATTGGACGTGGGCATCTTGAACCAACCCAACCAGGAATTGGTTCAGTTGAAGACACAGTCCGATGGATGCAATGGGACAACAAACTGCCCCCCTTGGCTGCAGAGGGACCTCAACCCCGTGAGGCTCCTAGGAGGGATTTCGATGTGGAGCATCCAGCGCTCTATGAGGAGGTCATTTTGAGCATTCTGGAGGTCGACACTGAGGCCTATCAGACCCATGTTCGCCGATGCATTCGTAAACACCCCATTTCATGGACTAAGTGCAGGAGGACCTTGCTTGAAGCCCATAGACAGTGTGCAGAAGGTTTTTTGGACGTTGATCCGGCCCACATGCGCTCTTGTATGGAGACTTTGCAACGCCTTTCCCAGGCAGATGCATGGCCCTTCCTGGCAGCCCTGCGCTGCGGAGCACAACCGACTGTGCCATCACAGGAGGAAATTGACAGCCGCATTGAAGCCGCGCAGATCATCCATGACAGACTGGCGATCCCGCCTCCATTGGGCAGGGAACGTGTCTTCCTTCACGCATTTTCGGGAAGGCGTCGGCCCGGTGACCTTCAGCATTATTTGGAGGAGGCATTTGCACGTCAGGCGGATGGGGTTTTGCTGCACGTAGTCTCCATGGATATTGTCATTGACAAAGAATGGGGCGACGCACGCAGACAGACCACGCGCGACTTCTGGCTGCGCGGAGCGCTCTCTGGCTTTGTGCAAGGTGGACTCTGTGGTCCGCCTTGCGAGACATGGAGTCAGGCGCGTTTTGTCGATCTCGGAGAAGCAGATGAGAGACGTCCGCGCCCACTCAGGTCTTTGGAGTGGCTCTGGGGGCTGCCATCCTTGTCCTTGCGTGAAATGGGACAGGTTGAGGTGGGCAACGAGTTGCTGCTCTTCGCAATTGACTTGCTCATCTGCCTTGCTCGATCTGAGGGGATAGGAGTTTTGGAGCACCCAGGAGAGCCCGCAGATGAGACAAAACCCTCCATCTGGCGGCTCCCAATAATTCAGCTTTTACGCCAACTGCCCGGCTTCGATTTTGTGGATTTCGCACAGGGGCTACTTGGAGCGAAGTCTCCAAAGCCCACCAGATTCCTTACTTTGAACATGGGCAGCCTGCCAGGTTTTTTGCATAGCCATCGCTTGTGCCCCGACTTGCCTAGGAATGCAGCGATAGGCAAGACAGTCGATGGACAATGGGCCACGACTAGTCTCAAAGAATACCCACCGGCTTTAAACAAAGCCCTGGGGGAAAGCTTTGCCTTCCACCTTCTGCAGTACCCGTATCAGCAGGACACTGTGATTGACAAGGGGTTTCTCGATCGTTGTCGCTTCATGCATGTCACGGATTTTGGGAAGCATTACGGTCTTGATTACTGCCATCAACACAGATAGTTGTGCAGAAGGAGGGAGGGCATCAATTTGTTGCTCAGGTCAACACAGAATTTAGAGCTCGCCGCGACTTTCCAAGTCCCAAAAGGCCGTAGGAAAAACTTTTTCGTTGGTTTCTGTTGGGTGTCTCTTCCGTTTTTCTAAAATTCCGTCAGGCCATGGATTACTCAGCACTCAGCAAGGTGGATCCCGAGGAGCCACGGAAGACGACATATGGTCAATGGGAATTTCAGGATCCTAAAATGGAGAGGCCATATTTTGTGGGGATATTCCCTTACATAGGCCTTACATAGGCCTTACATAGGCCTTACATAGGCCTTACATATATGGTAGGTACCTCCAATCAATCGGTTCCTGAAATGGCCATTGATATGGGGCTTTCCAAGCCGTGGGGGTACCACAATAGTAAGGGAAAATCCGTTTAAAATGGATGAGAACTAGGGGTACCCCTATGGAAACCCCCATATACTGTGAGTTTGAAAGTGAAGTTCTAGATGAAAATTCGTGATTGGTGGTGGAGAAGCTTAACTCTTTCACTGGTGATGATGACATGCGCAAAGCGCAGCAGTGATCGAAGCTATCTTTTTGCAGTTTCTCGGATGGGACATGTCCTGGACCTGAAGTCATGATGATCTTTGTAAATAGGGGATAGAGCTATATATATATACATACCAATCTTACTAAAATCAGTAGAATAAACATTGAAGCATACTGAAGCAAATACCTTATATATATTACCTTCACCCTGCAGTGGTTGACATATGGCAGATGTAGAACCTTTTGACATATTTACTCCGGTGATTTCTTACAGAGCTGGGTTCAATGGGCCATGTAGTTCGATGACTTGACTTACCTATAGAGGGTATGATGAGTTGATGGTATTATTGATATTGAAATTTTTGGGTAATGTGACATATTATCTATTTAGTATGGGTTTTTAATGGGTTTTAATAGTAGTTTCATATTTTGATGGTGATGTTCAATAGCTATCTTACATTACCAGAGGGTATGCCATCATATATCCCATCTGAATCCCACTTAAATCCCATTAGAGTCCAGTGTTGTTGGTGGTTAAATTACCAGAGCCAAGGGCATGCCGCTCACCCCGGTTTGGGTGGTAGTTTCAACGATTTGGGATTGGAAGAGTCTCCACTTCTTCAGGATTCGTGACCGAAGTTCTGTGTGTCAAGCATTTGGCTCTTCAATATCTTTATATAATTAACCAAGTTTGTAGATTCCAATCTATTGAAAGTGACCATTTATCTTGTGGTTAGATCACTTACCAACCGGGAAATGGTCACTTTGTTGATCAGTAGATACTGGTACTGCAATCAGACACCTGTTTGTGTAGATGATATTCCATTTGGCTGTTGATCACTAACCACTGTTACTATGATCCCATTCACTGAGTAAGTAAGATTCCTAGATGTATTCTCTTTTTGGGGCTTAGCTTCATTTGAGTTCACTAGCAGAAATGAGTACTTCTATCTATATACGTGGCACTATTTTTTTTGTGAAGAAGTACCTAACATTAAGCAACAAACACTTATCAGGAAATTATAGTTGATAGATGTTGAGAGTTGCTACCTAAGTAATGCTTTTTAATACTGCGACTATCGCTATTACTAATATGGGCAACCAAACAATAAACCAGCCATTTGGGAATGGTTTATTTGTGCCACCCGCGAAAATGGCTATTTTGGGGGATGCTGTATTAGTGTGTTTACCAACTTATTAGTGTTACTCTGTCATGTAATGATTATTATTATATGACTATTGTTATTAAGTACTAGTTGATTATGTGAATTCATTATTAAGTACTATGACGTGTTAATTACTGGTTGGTGGTTTGGAACATGAATTTTATTTTTCATAATATATGGAAGAATCATCCCAACTGACTTTCATATTTTTCAGAGGGGTAGGTATACCACCATCCAGATTATATATATATACTATATATATACATATATATATATATATACAGCATAATTTATCACACATTCATTATTAAGTACTATGACCTGTTATGAATGAAGTTAATGAAGTTCTATTAAGTACTATGACCTGTTATTAAGTACTATTCCTTATTAATTAATCAATCAAGTTCTGTAATGAAGTCATGTCCCTGCCAACGTCAGGGACGCCCAGAGACGCACCACTCGGATCGTCAGGAGCTGCTTCAGACCTTCAAAGACAAGGCGATGGTCCATGTTTCGATGGTAGTAATACTGTATAATCACTACACTAGTTGATTAATGGGATTTTATAGTGATTTAATGGGATTTTATAGTGATTCAATGGGCTATTAATGGGATATACCCTCTGGTAATTTAACGTAGCTATTGAAAATGGCCATTAATAGTGGATTTTCCCATTAATAGCATGGTGATTTTCCATAGCTATGTTAGTTTACCAGAGGGTAATCACTACAATAGTTGATTAAGACGGTAGTACTACTATATTACTAGTTGATTATTATTTTATTATGTTATATTGTACTATAATAATTAACATTGGACGGTCCATGAATGAGCATAGTAATAACAATAGTAATAGACATATATAGACATAGTAGAACTAAGTTCATGGCAATAGTAATACTAATTATATTCGGGAAGGTAACAGCAAACCCAATAGTATTGTCAGCAATACTTGAGGATACTCTCAAAATTGATCAATTATAATTTACGTGCCGATAGGGGAAAATGTGACCAAAACACTTACCCGCTAGTAATTTGTTGCAGTTTGCTATGGTATAGATGACCTATTTAGTTCAATGATTTACCTTTGAAAAGTTGCATTTTTCCATAGCTATATATATATAACATTTACCAGAAGGTATGTAAGAATGCCCCATATAAAATGGCTAGGACATATCTATGATATCACCATGAAATATCCATGGGATCAAAAAACATCTGTGCCAAGGTCGGTACTTTTGGGATCTTTTTTGGGGCCGTCAATGCCAGTTGGAGATGGCCGATGGCCAGAAAATCCCTTGGGGATGTGGCCATTGGAAGGATTCTAATGGGATTGGCCATACCACATACACAATGTTTTGACCATGGCACCTATGGGGGACTCTGTGAAATGAATGAGGTTTAAAGCCATTTGACTTTCTGGTTGCGTTACGAATCTGAAATGAATCACAAAGAACGAACGTGGATTCACCCGTTTGAATCTGGGCATATGGGCATATCATCTGTCAACTTTATGCCAGAAAGGCCATCTTAAAACAGTAATTGAGGTTAGATCATGGGTGCAGATAAGACTTCTAAAATGGGAGGACTCGCTGAGTATGAGTTTCAAGTCTCAAATCTCAAGTCTCATGTCACAGAAGCCGTGGCTTCATCTTCCACTGCTACCATGGAATCTTTGCTAATCAACAGTCAGTGTTCAGCAATGGTCCCCTTGGCCGGCTACACGGGCCCCCCATCTACGAGATCGCTAAGTTGGTGCCAATAGGTGAACCGACGACAGAGACATTCTACAAGTCTAGGGGAGATGGGCATAGTCGCAACGGTGTCCAAGGTCATCTCCAGATCAGACGTCTCCTTGACGGCATCAATGGAAGTCTACGCAGCCATCTTGTGGGTCAGATGCTGGCTGCTGGCGCACTTTGTGTTGGATGCTTCGCAGTGATGCTGGGGTGGTTTGGCCGTGCTGCGCAAAGTGCATGGAGATCACACATGGAAGGCGCTGCACATGTCAACCATGGCCAGGTCTTACAGTTTGTCAGCTGTAACCCTACTTGCAACCGGTGATTCACCAGAAGTTTCCATCTTTAATTGTATAGGTGCAGTAAAACCATGTTGAATCCAGTTTTCCTGGTGATGTGCTTCATGGTTATTAAATCTTGCTATGGCCTTTGAAATGGTGATATTATCACATAGCCAGCGAACACTGAGCTGTACCACGAGTCATCACACGTCAGGGAACTTCGCACAGCTTCTGGGTCAACGATTTGGAATCTCCCGCCTTCACAGCCGCCTGGTCCGCTTGGTTCATGGGGAGTTTAGGGAACCATCTAGAAATGTTGAAAGTTATACCAAAAGGTGCAGTAGATAAGATAATTATTTATATTACCCTCTGGTTAGTTAACATAGCCATGGTATAGATGGCCCATAGAAATAGATGGTTTACCTATTAAAAATGGTGGATCTTTCCATGGCTATGTTAGTCATAACCAGATGGTATTTAGTACCACTAAGCTTTCTTCCCGGTGATTCACCTTTTATATCTTTCAACCGGGATTCGACACTCCATCCACAACGGGATGCACTGAAGTTGAGCCGCTCAAAAAAGGTGCCAGCACTGTTCATCCAAGGGGTGTGCCAATGTTTTTGTCACTGATGCTATCCTCTTTTCATTTGGATATGTTGTTCATCACTTTGTTCTATGAGTATATGTATATGAATGCATTTTGCAAAACAGATGTGGGCAGAATGGCACAGCATGGATGAACAAGGCCAAGGCTACCTTAAACATCGGGGATTCCTGTAGACTGTAGATGTTTACTTCATCCAATACTTGCATTATGGTTATATAGGTGACATCATCCCGCAAATGACCGAACTTTTCAGGCTGTGAAACGGTGAAATAGCTGAGCCAGAGCCATGCAAGGGTGTTTGTTTGAACTGGTGGTTAGTACCTTGAGTAAATTGACTACGATTTTAACGAGGGAAACATATTGTCAAATACATTACGTGTATGTTAAATCAGTTGGGCCTTGCTCATGTTCAGTGAATAATCCTCCTCTCATCTTGCAGTCAAATGTCAACTTAGGATTGACACCTTGTACTACAGTAAATTCAATCACCATAAAGGATTGCTATTGCTGATAGATTGTGCTAAACCCGTAGGATTGAGTTTCAGTCAGTACAGTATAGTGTTTTCCCAGTGGAAAGTGTTCCAAGCAGTTCATGTCAAGTTTTATCGATATGGGGTATGGTCATAACTTTCCAATTTGTGCCGAACTAAATCCAGGCACGTATATAGAAACCAGGATACAACATGCGTATTGGTCATTCGGGGTGAGGATGGAGTAGGACGGGGTGGGTCAATAACGTTCATGTCAACTTGAACAAATACATCCGTCATGCTACGCTATGCATTTTTTCTTGCACTTGCACACATACGTCATGCTACGCTATGCTTTCTTCTCTTGCACTTGCCCACATACGTCAAGCTACGCTATGCTATATGCTCTTGCAGTTGCCCACATACGTCATGCTACGCTATGCTTTCTTCTCTTGCAGCTGCCCACATACGTCATGCTACGCTATGCTTTCTTCTTTTGCAGCTGCCCACATACGTCATGCTACGCTATGCTTTCTTCTATTGCAGCTGCCCACATACATCATGCTACGCTATGCTATCTGCTCTTGCAGTTGCACACGTATGTCATGCTACGCTATGCTTTCTTCTCTTGCACTTGCCCACATACAGTAATTGCTACACATTGCTTTCTTCTCTTGCAGCTGTCCACATACGTCATGCTACGCTATGCTTTCTTCTCTTGCAGTTGCCCACATACGTCATGCTACGCTATTCTTTCTTCTCTTGCAATTGCACACATACGTCTTGCTATGCTATGCGTTCTTCTCTTGCACTTGCTCACATATGTCATGCTACGCTATGCTTTCTTCTTGCATTTTCCCACATACGTCATGCTACGCTATGTTTTCTTCTCTTGCAGCTGCCCACATACGTCATGCTACGCTATGCTTTCTTCTCTTGCAGCTGCGCACATACGATCACATACGTCATGCTACGCTATGCTTTCTTCTCTTGCACTTGCTCACATACGTCATGCTACGCTATGCGTTCTTCTCTTGCACTTGCCCACATACGTCAAGCTACGCTATGTTTTCTTCTCTTGCAGCTGCCCACATACGTCATGCTACGCTATGCTTTCTTCTCTTGCAGCTGCCCACATACGTCATGCTACGCTATGATGTCTTCTCTTGCACTTGCCCACATAATTGCTACACATTGCTTTCTTCTCTTGCAGCTGTCCACATACGTCATGCTACGCTATGCTTTCTTCTCTTGCAGCTGCCCACATACGTCATGCTACGCTATGCTTTCTTCTTTTGCAGCTGCCCACATACGTCATGCTACGCTATGCTTTCTTCTCTTGCAGCTGCCCACATACGATCACATACGTCATGCTACGCTATGCTTTCTTCTCTTGCAGCTGCCCACATACGTCATGCTACGCTATGTTTTCTTCTCTTGCAGCTGCCCACATACGTCATGCTACGCTATGCTATCTTCTCTTGTACTTGCAGAAGGCGTTCCAACTCATGTTGGTATCATAGCTCTTATTTGCTCAAATGTCCTCCTAATACTTTTCTTTGTATATGCCTTGCGTGCAGCAAATTTACTCTTTCCTGTTTTTGGTTGTTTTCCTGCCAGGATTCGCTCGAGCGTTGTCTATGACGAAGGTGCAACTCTGCTCTCAATCTTCCGATTTCCCTAGCTGCTTTGATCTTGCAATTTTCCAATCGATGTCCCGGACATCCACATCCCAAACAATTGCGAACCACCCTAAACTGGAAACAACCGATGGAAAGAAAAGTTGACTTCTCAACAAAACCATGTTTTTAATTCCATGCAAATGTTTCATTGTCATGTTCCAAATGATATACCACATCTAATGAAATCCTAGATTCATGATTCCAAAAGTTGGTTTCGGAAAACCTGTTTTATACATCTGAAAAGACCCAAACCAAGAATGCCCTTCAAACACATCTAAAGTTGTATAGCAAAAAACATAGAACTTCCTCTAACTGACTGTTCCAAACACAATTCAAAACAAATCATCGGAAAGAAAGGAAAACAACATTCTTCTCCTGAGCACAAATCACGCGCGGGTTTCTACGCGCGTGCACCCTAAAAAACTAACTGGGAGTGAAACAAAAACACATAGAAATGCGAAAAGCTACCCTGTTTTTAATTAACGCAACAATATATGGAAAAACCATCATTGATGATACTCTCCGATAATTTCACACAACTATGCAAAATCACAATGTTAGGCAGATCAGCATTTTCTATGGATCATAGCTTAATCCCAGCATACTGTAACAAATGACCGGAGGGTAAACCATATGTGATGTCGCAGTTTTTCCTCAAACATTTTTTTGGTGAAAAAATATTTGATATTACATGAATCATATTATAATTTAGTTTTTCCTTCAAAATTATCAAACATCACAAAATCGTAGTGATCATAGCCCCACAGGATCATAGTAATCATAGCTTAATATTTAGTCATATCATATGTGTTCCTTAAATGTCCAAAAATCACTGGATCATGCCCCATGGCGTACTACAGGAAACCATGGTTTTCCCCATGAAATACAGGATTTTCCTGTAAATTTACCCTTTAAACCAATCCAGTGATTAATCATAGCTTCGCCATGGACTCCATGGTTTTTCCGGGTTCGTTTCGTGCTCAGGTCTCCCCAGAGCTCAGTGAACTGAAGGACTACCTCAACGGCTGTGGCTTTGAGGTTTCAGCGAAGGGTCAACGGCAGGTTAGTCATGGTTGGTTGGGTGAAGAATCTAGTGATACAGTAGATGGACAAAATATTCAAACCCTGCAGCACGCACTATGTTAAACCCCCGCACCCCCAAATCTCAATGTTTCAGCGCGCGTGTTAGCAAAAGTGATGTTAGGGGTTTGATTTTTTTCGTCCATTGGGGCTAATGCATTTCAGGTTCCATTAACATTGAACTTTGGGGGCGAGGGGGTTGTACCGGATACAAGGGGTTTGAATAGTTCGTCCATCTACCGTACCACTGGTTAATGGTGAATAATGGTTAGTCACAATAATGGATAATAATGGTTAGTAATCACAATGGTTAGTAATTTTAAACCAATAATGGTTAATGATGGTTAGTAATGGTGAATAATGTTAGAAATTGGTTTAAAATCCTTAAATCCATCCAAATCCAGAGATTTGTTTACCCAAATCCAGGGATATGAATGGTTAGTGATGGTGAGCCATGGTTACCATTAAGGATCCACGGATAATCAATTACAATGAGCCGATATATCCAACATCAAAGATCAACTGGTTAATAGTGGTTAAGGGTAGCCATGAAAATGGAGAATAAAATTGAATAAGGATGATTTGTGTACCATTAGTATGGAGACTTGTTTCATATAACAATATTGAGGATATCGCTTTTGATAAGGATATGCAATGTTGTTCCTAACATCTCAGCTCCTAACTATATGATATTATAATGATACAGAACCAACATTAACTTCATATACAGAACCATTATTAACTTCAAAGCTTGGGTTTGCTGAGTCGTTGATGTTTTGTTTTCTAATTGGTTTATCCACCAAATCTGCATATTTACCACACATCTACAATACATTTGGGGCAATTCTGCGGTAGCTCTATACGATTCCATTGTTTAGATTGTTTGAACTTATGAAATATCAACCTTTAAATATCTATAAATATACGTGTATATATATATATTATACAGATATATGCGTAGATATGGTGTTTGAAACATTTTTTCTTCAATTTGCCACATGGATGGATTTGGTTTGAGCCCCCGATTCACCCTTTTTTGAGCCCCGATCCAGCCAGCTAATTTACCTTATTTTGACAAGGAAGGTTCCCCAAATGATAACTAAGTTGGTTTGTTCATAATTGCATACACAGCGATAAAAATGGTAGACATTCTTACTTACCGAACATGAGTTTCATGGACTTCTTGGAAAACCATGGCGACAGCCATGGGCTCATCATAGTCAGATAGGTTCCGACACCGACAGAGATCACTGGGGGGAAACCCCCGACATGGCGAGGCAGTGCTGATGTCTGGCTCTGGGAGTACCATTTTCTGCCTGGGTGAACCCGGCAGCGGCGCCGACATTTTTGAGGCGGCGGTGCGAAGGGCGGCGGTTCCAGGGCGGTGTGGAAGGCATTGGGAAAGCCCTTGGGAAAAATCATTCAAACACCATATAGGTTTTCGGAAAATGTTGATGACTTAGAGTTGGTGAGTAAATCATCCAAAGACCATAGGTTTTCGGAAAATGTTGATGATTGATGACTTAGAGTTGGTGAGTAAATCATCCAAACACCATATAGGTTTTCGGAAAATGTTGATGACTTAGAGTTGGTGAGTAAATCATCCATTCACCATAGGTTTTCGGAAAATGTTGATGACTTAGAGTTGGTGAGTAAATCATCCAAACACCATAGGTTTTCGGAAACACCATAGAGTTGGTGAGTTCTGGATTCTTTTCAGATTAGAGATTCTCCAAATTCGTTTGTGTCCAAGCTGTGGATTGCCGGGTTGGGGCCTCCAGAGCATTGCAAAAAACATTGCAACTTCAAACAAATTAATGCACCAACGTGTATGTTATATGTAGTTGAAACCAACATGATCCCTAGTTGTTCTTTGTATCGCCTGGAATGTGTCAGATGGAGGTTTGAACGACCATTTTTCTTATGCCTCAAACCAATTCAAACCCAACAATCAATCAACATCATGTTTGAGGTTTAATGAACATGTGTTTTTCGTTAATCACTATCAGTCTATATCAGTTTTTGTATCATTGATCATCATCATCATCATCATCATCATCATCGTCATCGTCATCGTCATCGTCATTGTCATCGTCATTGTCATCTTCATCCTCCTCATCATCATCGTCATCATCATCATCATCATCATAGGATAATATCATGATAGCAATGATTAACATCGATTGACGCATGCCCCCCCGTGGTGTTTGTTGGTCTATAAAGTCCCGTATACAATGAAAACAAGTTCATTGCATCTGTAGACTATAGATGTTTCATGATTTTTCCTAGTTATGGTTCTTGTTGTTTTGTTCCATTTGCGAGGCCTCCACAAAGGAGAAGTTTGACATCGAGGGGATTTGGAAAACGCGATTCATGCGTGACTCGGCGTTGGTAGATGGAGAACAAAAAATGCAATCGAGACAACTAACTTCAGTACTTACTGTAGCCCCAAGAATGATTCAACCTTATTTAACTTTGGTACTTAACCTAACCCAGAATATAGGGATATTCAATGATATTCAGCTATTCCCAATGACATTAATAATAGCATGTGGGCCCCCCAAATTGAACAGATCCAATACTATATTAGGGCAGGAAGGGGCTGTTCAACCTCCAAGACTCCAAGATATGTTGTGTTTGTTCCTTCTTTCTGAAACCTTTTTGAATGACCACGTTGTTTGACTTTTTTGATGGGCTCACATGTGTACATGTGTGTGTTTGCGTGCAGGTTTGTATGTTTTGTTGATACCATGCTGAAATGTGACATGAATTGAAATTAAAACTACCGTCATGTATTGCAAAGTCTTATCATTTCGGGTGTTCACGCATGGAACTACATTATCTATATTATCAATCATCGTCATATCTTCTGTGTTTTGCCAAAGTAACACCTACTGAACCTTGATAGTGAATGACAATGTCTTGTGACCTCTCAATTTTGGAGTGTTCAGTGGGAAATGTACATACATATACCACAGTGAGCATTCATTGAAGTAATGATCTGCTTGTACGTCAAAATTCAACCATTTTGGATGTCAGGGGGATGTTCATAGCATTGACCTGTCCACATCTGTTTTTCTTCGTTTGCCACTAATAGCTTCATGTATAAGATAATGTTTTTTTTTGTGGACAGCTCTGTTACACTGTTGGTTTCCGCTTAGATTCTCGCCAGCTGTTCGTAGATTGTCATGACCACCCAAAAAATGATACTAGAAACGAAGCCAATCTGATACTAACATCGCCTGAATTTCTTGTCCTTCAATCCCCCAAAGTATGAACATGTGAAAGTCATATCATTGGATTTGAGGGAAAATTGACAGGAAGCCTACTTACTAGTTTCTTGGGGAACAATATGGTTTCCTCTATATGTTCCCTTAGATCAATCCAGCCATGGCAAGCGAGTTAGATTTTTCCAAATTGCATCCCTCAATTGGGGGATTGGTTTATGGGACAATTCACAGAAAAAAACTTTGTTTTTGCGCAGAAAACCATGATTTCCTGGAGAATTTTGTATGGCTTCACATGGTTTCCCATGTTTCTTCGCCGGCCCGAGGTCGTCCTAGTCCCAGCGAGTGGTACCAGGAGGCGATGCGATGGCCAGAAGATTGGGGATCCAACTTTCCAAGAAGTTGGGGATGTACATGTACATATATCTTTATATGTATCTGGATATATGATATATAAATATATGTATATATATACATATCATATATATATATTATTGTATATATATATATATATTATTGTACATATATATATTATTATATATATATAATATATATATATACATATTATTGATTGATAGTGTCACCAAATGATGGTGAAAAAGAAACACCCCCCAGCATTTTGACGGTTTTTGTGAGTCTTTTATTTGTCCCCAGCCACCCAACAAGACGACTGGCTGTGCAGGTTTGATCACCGTGATGTTCGACATTTGGGAGCGCGATGGAAATGGGAATGCAGAAGTTCAAGAGTAAAATCATTCAACAGTAATGTCAACCCCGGATTAATAAACCATGGTTTATTAATTAGGGGGTATTCCCCCAATAGTCATGATTTGATACTTAAATGGTACCTTCCCAATTAAATGGCCTAGGGGTTTATTAATCCAGGGTTGACATTATCCACAAGTCATATATTCTTAAGCTTTAAGTGATTTAATATGATTTAATCAGCGTACCAAACTGTTCTGACGATGCGCCAAAAAACGCTTGTGGGCCGTTGCGTCTCAATATTTTTGAAACTTATGGATTTGCATAGCTATATATCGTTCAAGCCTAGCCAAAGAGCAGATGTACATTTGCGAGTGATGTCAAAAAGATGCGAGACGCCGAAGTATTGGTAAGACAATCACTGATAATCCTCATAGTAGTGGACCTGGTGAACGTCCGCTTAGACCCTCAGTCTACCCCCTTAACAATGGCTAAAACTACAATTGTTCATGGCGCAAATACATGCAAATACATATAAGTATATAACTTTTATGGATCAATGGGGGGCAAGGTAGGGGTTAGGACTATGCACAGAGTCCCAAGAGGGCTCAGTAAATCCTCTGACATTTTGGGATTTGGAATAGTTCCACTTCCACAATATGTTTTATTATGGAAGCAAAGGGACACATGATGCTCTTGGCGATTTTGGAATTGTCACTTTGTCAGTTATACAGTCATGGTCAGTCATGGTCCTCTTGTTTGCAGCTGGGAACGTATGTTTGGGGGCACCAATCTGCAGCTTCAGCATTTAAGGAGGTTTGCGCAGAAATGAAAGACAGACAAGCAACCTGACTCAGACTCCTTGTAGATATGAGCATGTTGAACTTTAAGTCAGTTGCTCCGCATGAGCAAATCTAGTACTACTAGAAAACCCATTCTTGTCCCAAAAAGACAGCATGCAAACAGCTTCAGATTCCACTTCATTTTAAATCGAAGCAATGGCCATTGAATATATCTCCAGACACTTGACAGATCTCATGCAAGTCTTCGAAAGACCACAGACCAGAAAATAGCCTCAAGAACAGATGTAGTCAGCATAATTTCCTAGACATACCAGTTTCAAATAGTTTCAACACTTTTTTTAAACCTTCAAATTTGACCCAGACAGATACTTAATGGTTCTTACATGATTCTTACCTCAATGTCTTTTTAGCACCTTTCCTCATTGCTTCTGAGGGTCGGACCATCCCAACCGTGGCAGCCCAGCCTTCGAAAATGTGGCGAAGCGCCTTCCAGGTCGTCAAGGCAGGCACGATAGGTTGCTAGGTTGCTATTGAAGGGATACCTGGTTGGTGGTTTCAAACATGTTTTTTCCATATAATATATGGGATGTCATCCTTCCCATTGGCTTCCATATTGTTCAGAGGGGTTGAAACCACCAACCAGGATACAGTATGTATCGTTTGAGACACAGATCGTTTGAGACAAAAAGTACCTAGCAACCTCCCACAAGAGTTGGAAAAGTCGTGAAAAGTCAGAAAAGAATCCTGTTGAAAATAGCTTCAAAAATCATGGTAAATCACCAGGTAATTTGACCACTTTTCGATCTCTTTTTCTGGTGTTACAGTAAGTTGATGAGTCGCCGGTGGACTTCGCTCCCAGTGTTCTTCGTGATTTCGGGATGGGCTGGTTTTATACCGAGGTGACACACTGGATAGGCACCTGTCAACAAAGCTGGCTGGAAGACCCCCAGAATGATCCAGAATGCATTTGCTCTCCAGGACGGACACTTCAATAATGCAGGATTCCACAATCATCCAGGTTCCAACATGTACATGTAATTAGATGTAATTAGATGAATTAAATGACTGGTTGGTGGTTTGGAACATGTTTTATTTCCCATAACATATGGGATGTCATTTTTCCCATTGAGTTTCATATTTTTCAAGATGGTTCAAACCACCAACCAGTAAATGTAATTAGATGAATTAAATGAATTAAATGTATGTTTTTCCAACCAGGCACAGCGATAGCGACACCTGAAAACCTGGCCCAGGGATGGACGTCACGATACGATGTTTTACCTGTCCAGGTAGGCTGGAGATCGGATGATGTTTGGGATTATAGCTTCAACGGAGGGATTGAGGTCTCAAGATATCTTAAGGGTTTTTGGGCCCGAGTTGAGTTCTCAATGGTATTTCTATGGGTTTATAAATTCCAGAAATGGAGTTAGTTCAGTACTTATAACTGGTAAAGGGCCACAACTATTCCCATTCATTCATTGATTTCCCAATGTTTTTTCCAATCAGACCCTCACAACTCTCTTTGTGGGTGATATCGCCACGTTTCTTCGGCAACAAGGTCCGTTTGGTTGTTTGTCAAGTCCCTACTTTGGATTAAATCCTATCATAAAATATCAATCTTCATTATCAGATAAATCAGACATTTTTTCTGTAGTAATTTAAACCCAGCCAAGTTGTTTTTGTCTTCAATTGAGGTGGATGTCCCCCAACTTCAAGTGGTTAAATCGTGTCAAATCTCCATCTCGCAATTTGCCTTGAAGCATTAGAAAAGACATCACAAACTCTATATCTCTGCGGGTAAAATCCATTACAATCCATATTTCTGCAAGTAAACCAACACCATTTCTGTCCCATTTCTGTTGACCACTTCCGGCTCTTGGTGCCAGGCCCGCCGCGACTCCCAGCGCAGCTTTTACGCCTCGAAGTGGCAGAAACGGCGCGGCCGTGGGACCCGTGGGACCCGTGGGACCTGTGGGACCCGTGGGACCTGTGGGACCCGTGGGACCTGTGGGACCCGTGGGACGAGGGATGGAGAGTTTTTCAGCAACGCAGAAGTGAAATGATGGGACTTTACCACTTATAACGGGTCTGGTTAATGATTAATGGGATAATCATCTTTATTTCATGGGATTATATACCATTTTTATAGTGGTTAATGATGGTTAATGTTTAATCTTTACCACTTATAAGTACTATTAGTAATCTGATTAATAAGTGATTAACCTACAATAAACGCCAATTGGGGTTGATTATTCAGTATAACCCGGATGTAATGGGATGAGGTAACCCCAAATGGTGAATGGGATAGTTTATTACTGGGTTTACTATATCTGGTTTTTACCAGCTGGTTATTATATGGGATAGTCATCTTTATAATGGGATTATATACCAATAATAGTGGTTAATGATGGTTAATGGTTAATAATCACTGGTTGGTGGTTTGGAACATGTTTTTTTCCATAATCTATGGGAATGTCATCATCCCAAGTGACGAGCATATTTTTCAGAGGGGTTGAAACCACCAACCAGTATAAGTACTAACCCCATGTATGGTTCATGTATAATCCCATAGAAATACCCACTTGTAAGTAGTAGCCATGGCCTTAGCTGCAGAAATGAGGGGACTTTTTCTGGGATTTGTTTCAAATCTGCTGGATTTCTGTACCAGCAAATGGATGCAAATGTGGGAGGTAAGAAGCAGAAAATCAATGATGTTGTGGGAGCTCACCAGCAAGAATATGTATGGATTTTGTATGATTTTGTATGATTTTGTTGTGTGAAACCTTGCCACAATGGTAGTTCGGAACATAGTCAGCAAAGCTTGGCGTTGAAATTGGCATATTTTCCAATACAACCGAGGATGTAGTCACTGGAAAATCGAATCGATGAGGATATGATATCCTTTGGTAATTGAAGATAGCTATGGATAGCTATGGATAGCTATGGAACATCACCATTTTTTGTAGGTAAATCCTTGAACTAAATGAGCCATTTATACCATAGCTTTGTTAAATTACGGGATCAAGGGTATATGAAGTGTTTGTTTGACATATTCACGAATGGCCTATTTCAGCAACAAACATGGGAATATGACCTGATGTGACTATCAAGACTTGGTAAAGCGGCTGGTGGATGATGGGTTAATCAGCAAAAATGGAGGCTTTAACATGGCTGAACCACCATAAAGCGGGCGCGGGTCCAAACCCATCCCCAAAAAATGGGAAAGTAAAGACATGTCAACAAAGATCCTGACCACGTCTGTTTTAATATGTATGAAGTTCGCCTTGGTTTCGCAGGTATGAAGCGCTTGGTGACAGAAAGGTGTTTCATCCTGACACATATTCACTCGCAACCAAGAGGGATTTGATCTGTTAAACGTTTAAACAAGAAAACAACATTGTAAGTTTGTACCAGCAAACCTGGGCATATGATACTCGTATTTTTTGCATAATGTGACGATAAAAAGACCCGGGCAGAACTTGTTATCAAGTGACTATAGACTGGCATAATCCTAGCTTTGATGAAGATGACTGGGCATATTTTGCCAATGGAACATCAACCATGTAGGAATCTAAAGGGATTATTTCTGATTGTTTAGTTTTTGTTGGGGGACCCCTCAAGCAAATCCAAGTATAATTGTTTTCTGAATGACCAGATGATGTATAGTGCTGGTACAAGTGCCTACCCAAGCATCACCCATTCAGGTATAGGTAATTTCAGGAAAGGTACGAGGCCCTCCTGAGATATCTTTATTCATTACCCCCACGAACTACTTTGTTAACAATTACCATAAACCACGGTGGATGGAAGAATGCAATGCAAGGATTCGTGTTACCTTCAAGGCAATGCAAGACTTTCTGTTAGGTTGAATGGTCATAATCTTCCGTTCACACCTTATTCACCATCTAATTAGAAATGTAATAATGTAATACCCTCCTCAAATTCAATATATTTGTCTTTTGGCACATTACATTCAATATTTGAGGAGCTCCAATTACATCATAATTTAATCATAGAAATTGGATAAAGATTGAGTGTGGTGAACATAAGAATGGAAAATAATAAGCATCATAAACGCATTTCATAAGAACAATCAATTAGCCATGAATCAGTTGGAATCTCTACCATAATCTCTTTTTTTCCTTATTATTTCTGTAGCATTCCGTTCAGCTTGAGATAGGCATTCCGATGAATTTCATCGGAATGGTTCACCTCCTCGAAACCAGTCGCAATACGGGAGTGACTTCAATTATCTGCTGCAGGGAGTACCTGCAGTATCCATGGTTTTAGACCACTCCCCATTCCAAGATATTCCAAGTGGAATGGGCATAGATTGGATATCCGAAAAAAAAAATCAGACACCCAAAAATACCAATGTCTTGGAATATCGCACTCATATGGTGTGAACTGGGGCTGCGACCTATGGTTATGTGTTACACCTAGACGTAGACGTCATAGCCGAAAATAGACGAGAGAAAAGTTGAAGTCCTTCAAAAATGAACCAGGCAAATATCCGTTTGACAATGACATCCTGGAAAAGAAAGAACACATATATACTTGGGGGTGCTGTTCGAGATATAAAAGTGAAATACATAAACATACTAACAGGGGCTTATATCCGAACTTGTGGAGGTTGTCACAATAGTTATAAAATCATAAATCCCAATTGCACACCTAAGTAGTGTAGATAGTTGGGGACACCCTGCACACCGACATTTCCACAAGCCAGGAAACTCATGCGACAAATATAGCCATGCCCAGAGTCATGGTGTCATGGTCAATCATTTGTGCTCCTCAAAACGCTTACAGTAAGGATGTGATCATGCTGATCCCTCCATCACAATTGTTTAAAACAGATAAAACAATGACAATCCTAATCAATCGTACGAGGCCGAGGAGAGGGGGCTAAAGTTCGCCAATTTGCGGCACACATCCGGCGCGATGTCTTGCGCATAGTTGCCGATGTCTGGACAAAGTACTTGACCATTGACACTGGGATTTTTTGGTTTTGCTAATGCCTCATGGCATCAACAACAGGAAACTATAAGGCTCACCAGAGGTTTTAAGCAACCATCCGCAACCATTCCTATAGCTGGGGGAAGCGTCTGCACAGCATAGCGACATATGCTGCTAAGGCGCTGACAGCGGCGACGCTTGCGACTGCTCTTGTTTTCTTTGGTGCGCGGCGTTTGCTCCCCACTCAAGCCATTTTGGAAACAGGCTTCCATTCATTCTCCTCTCAGCAGGCATAGTGTGCGCCCAGGATGGTTGGCAAACATGGAAGGATGCTGAATTACAGAAGGCCGTTGCCACCGACAACGGAGGCAAGGAGGAGGATGCAAAGATTGATCAGCCGAGAGAGAATGGAACAAGTCGAAATCGGCCATTCGCTCGAATGAGGGGGAGATCGGCGGGTATGAAAAGGAGCTGAAGGTCAAAACAGGCAAGGCACAGATGGTCGAGAAGGTCCAGAAGCATTCTCCCGCAAACACCTGTCATTCTCAGCATGGAATATCCATGCGTATTCTCTCTGGCTGTTTTATTGCATGCAAAGACTACTCAGTGCAATGCAGCTGCCTAGTCATTTATCCAGAGCTGTGCGCGCAATTGCACACATCACCATATCCACAAATTCCCATCTCCACCCCGACAGTGACGCAAGAAGTTTGAATTTTCACGGTGCTTCAACGAAACGTCATAGAAACGCTTCACTGCCGAGCACCGAGTTGCACAGTGGCAAAAGATATTTATTGTGTTAAGCATATTACTAGTCACAAAATGCTTGCCACATCCGCTTTGAGCGTCCCCATGCGTTCGTTGACAGGTGCCCCGAGGTGTTTGCCGGCATGGTCAGCATTCCAAATTCGTGGGTTACGTTCCGGCAATCAAACAGAACAAGTGGATGTATATAATTGGAAACCCCCGAGCTAAATGGCGATTTTCATGTTGAAAATCTAGTGTAAAAGGTAAATTTTCCCACAAATCACCTTTGACTACTGGAATGTACCCCTCATTCACCTGGTTGAACCCCGTTGAAGCCCTACAGCTTCCGCGTTGCCATCGGATAGGCTTGGACACTTGCTGGAGGGACGTCGACGACCCCCTCCTCCAGACATACCAGAGAAGGACGCCCTTTGAACCGGTGCCTCCAGGTGGTGCCTCGCGGGTCAATCTTAGATGGGTAGTTTAATCCTTGAAGTCTTTTGGTATCATTGGGATTATCTACTAACCAGCTAAGAATTTAACTTTTTTTGGCAGGGTATCTAAGATTGGCCATGTAGCGGTCGATGTTAATAGTCAGTGAATGTCAATGCATGGTCAAATGTCAACAATAGAATGGGAACATCCTGGGGAGAAATCTGGCGATATATGGAATAATAGGGGATCAGTAGGGATAGAAGAAGAGGGATAAAAATTGGATGGATTATATCGACCGCAACGCAACGTCACTGGAATGATTGTTAGTAAGGGGAACAATTTTTTCAGGGTGGTGGATTGTTATATTTTATCCAGCCCATGTCCGTTTTTTGTTGTGGTTTATCACTGATGTCAAAAAGCTGTTGAATTGAGATTGGCACGGTCCCAGGTGTTGTTTTCGTGGTTTATGGCAATTTTGAAACAAATTCACCATGCAATTTGCCTAGTTCAATGTTCAATTTGCCTATGTCAGTGACAAAATACAATTTCCACACCAATAAAGCATCAAGCCATCAAGAGTGGTATAATGTCATGAGTAGCCATTGCTGATCCCGGAGCGCGAAATGGAATTATTAACGGTGAGGCGTTCGCTTGTGACGCTGTTTATCTCGTCGCTTGTGACGCGGTTTTTCTCGTCGCTTGTCACGTACACTCCCTATACCCCAAAACCCTAAACCCCCCTAAACCACCCCAAAACCCTACAAGGTAAAACCATCGGCACTGTCAGGTTTGCGAGATGATGAGAAACATTAGTAAACCCCAACCCCCACCAAAACCCTGAAAGGTAAAACCATTGGCCTTGTCAGGTTTGGCACATGATTATATCCCCCACCCCAAAACCGTAAAAGGTAGAACCATTGGTATTGTCAGGTTTGGCACATGATTTGGAACACATTTAGACCCTAAACAAATACCACTCCCTCCCACCCCTGGACCCTGAAAGGTAAGACCATTAGTATCCATTTAGTATTGTAAGGTGGCTCTTTCTTTCGTCGATGTACCGCGAGGCACGTAATCAACACGTAATTGAGAGAGCTCAGAGGACCCTTCGTTGCAAGCAATCGGCAAAAAGGGAGGGATCTGTTTTCGTCGCAAGTGATCGGCGAAAGTTTGTCGCAAGTGAATGGCTGATCTTATGAACAGTTTTGCTGGGGCAACCAGTTTCAGGTGAACAAACAAATGGTATCAAATTGCATCATGTGACCGCAAACTCCAAGAGTTTACCAGACCCTTGCTACAGACCATACAGACCCAACTTCTGCATGCATGACTTGGATCCTGTACAGATACAGCATCATAGCGTTAGCGCCCGTTTTGATTTTGGTGTGCAAACCTCTGAGGTTCAATGGTTCCAGTGGTTCTTTTCAAAAGGCACACACAACAATGGCACATGTGGTGCAAAAATTGAAAACACGTATTACGCCGTTCCAAACTTGAATGTATTAGATCATTAACAGCCAACATTGATAATAGCTACGTCAGTAACGACAATAAGCCAACTGTCGAGGTATATTTTGTTTTGATTTGTATTTCCCCAACAAGCAGCAAAGTGGATTTGGAGTCATCCTACAACAGGCCTGCAGTTGTTTTGCCAATGTTTGCTTTGACATGTTTGGCGTCACCCCAATTCTTGCCAATTATGCCGGATCGTGTGGCATCCTAGTTTGCAATGACACACAATCACCTTACATTTATCAGCAATAGGACAACCATTCGTTTGGATGTATTGAAACATAGTTTGCGTAAAACAATGTCAAACCATCCCCTAGTCATCACCATAAATATATTGGTGGTATAAACAAAAATTAAACCATTCCCAGTCATGGGTGGTTAAAATGGCCATTGTTTTACCCACAGAAAACATCGTTTTTCCCCCGTTTCCAGACGAGAATCAGCATTCCGCATCCCCCCGTACTACGGCAGCAGAATCCTGATGCCTTGCTTTTATTCTAGTCAAATGACTGTTCACAGCCCAATAGAAAAAAACTATACATGTATATATCTATATATATATGCATACTATCATTACTGGTAGTAGATAAATCATGACAAATCCACTGCGTTTACATTACATGTTTTGATATATTTTTCAAGATCATCATTTCAGTATCATTGAAGTTCATACCTAGCACATTGAAGTTCAATGTTTTGGCAACTGAGTTTCTGGCGAAGGGCCTCCCTGCTTGGATGGGTAGGATATCACACTTAGTAGGTGTCTATAATAACTCATCCATAGATATCTTTAAGCGATGATAAACTGTTTGTTACATATATTCAGATATAGGTACAAGATTACACCACATAATATAATATTAATATAGGTTAATTAATGTTATATGTATAGTACTATTTAGTCTTGCATTCATTTATTGTTGTTATTACAGTGTGTAAATATATGTAGACAGAGAGAGACAGAGAGAGAGAGAGAGAGTGTGTGTGTGTGTGTACCTATTGTGCAAGCAGCATGAGTTTGAAACCCTTGCTAACTAGGATGCACGCGTTTTTTTTGACATGGGGGGATCCCCAAGTCACCATGGTTGTTTTAATAACTAAAAATGGTCGAATGACTTGGATGAATTGAGGGTACCCCCATGACTTAGGAAGCAAAATCCAGAAATTCAACTCTGCCGTGGCATGAAAGCCAGGAGCGCCTCAGGAATGATTTCGAGATCAAACCCTGCAAGCCAGTCCTTGGCTCCAAACGTACCGGCGTGTCCACTCCTCAAGTGGGACAGGGTGTGTGTCTCTTGTCATACGGGGAGATCGCCCAACGTTGGCTGAGATATGATGAGCCTAACAGCCTTAAGGTTGGGATATCATGAGTTATATCATATGAGTCATATGGGATATAATGAGCCATCCTAAGTTTATAATGGAACTATGATATATAATGAGGTATAGTCATATGGAATATAAAGGGTTGCCTTCCTATCCCAAGATAAGCCGTAACAAATACACATATCCCATCCAATGATATTGCTTGTTGAATACGTATTCCTATTGGGTCTCAGACTTCAATCCCCATTTAACCAGGTGGTATATAAGTACATATAAGTACATAACACCGAAAATAACGCGTAAATGAGAGTCTTGTAACTCACAACATATTGGTTTCCAATGGCTCCACCATGGGGTTGACAGCACGCCACCATGGAACACAATTAAGGGAGCGACCCGCATGGCCTGTTCCAATCGCCATGGTGAAGAGATCTGAAAACAGCGGTCCTGAGGTGAAGTCGCACCCAAAAACATGGTGGTTTTGTAAGGGATGACATAGGATGAAATGATTAATAGTGATTAATGATATTAACAATCTGGTTCACAAGTGATTAACCTACCATTACTGGTTGGTGGTTTGGAACATAACTTTTATGACTTTCCATTCAGTTGGGAATGTCATCATCCCAACTGTTACTCACTCCATCATGTTTCAGAGGGGTAAGCTCAACCACCAACTAGATCAGTTTTTGGGACCATAGAATGGGGCTGTTTAACATGGGGATCGGATTGTCATGGATTTACTTGGGTGACTTTTAGGTATTCCCAGGAGACGCCAACAAGTCGAAAATTGGTCGCCAAGTCGTGATGTGTGGCCGATGGTTTTGGCCTTGAAAAAGATGGGTTTCTCTCAAAAATTGGTCCCCTCGAATTCGATGTTACTATTCGCACTAAACTTTGGACTGGGGGAGTCACGACTAAGCAACTATTTTGCTACTAGACTATACTAAACTATCAAGCTTGGATGGTTTTCAGCTTCCAGCCAATCCCATGTGGGTTTGTCTGAAACTCGGGTACACTAAAGTCTGATCCTTGATCATCATTTTCCCCGTGCAGATGGGAAGAAATCTGGGTTTAGATCCATAGTGCTAAACAATCCCCGCCCTCAGCATGATCTCATGATCTCCAACTGGTATCTTAAACAATGTGGTAAACCCAACAATATAATCCTAGTAATGGGATGAGGTAACCCCAAATGGTTGGTGAATGGGATAGTTCATTACTGGGTTTACTATATCTGGTTGGTGGTTTGGAACCTGAATTTCATTTTTCCATATATGGGGAACTGACGAACTCATATTTTTCAGAGGGATTGAAACCACCCACCAGATATTATCTTGAATTTTGATGTCCTTTCAGTGCTATGGCGGGAGATACTGTACCGAGGTTGGCCTACAAGATTGGCTGCATGTCTCTTTGGGACGCCACTTAGCTGAATAAGGGCAGACTCTCTTCATATTTACAGATGGTTTTAAGCATTAGCATGATTTGCCCAGATGTTTTCAGGAGTATAGATGCATGATATACACGTAAGCATCGTGTATTGCGTGTGTAAATGATATTTTTTAGATAATATTAGCACATTTATATGATATGAATATAAACATTGCTATATGTATTAATATAAACACATCATTTACATAGCTGTAGACTGTAGACTATATATATATATATATTATTTATATATACAAACGTGCATTCATTTATAGGCGAAGCATACATTGAGCATCGATCAGATCGGCCCCTCCAAGCAGATCGACCGCGAGAAAAGCTGCTAGACTGAGATGAGAATTGAGATTGCTCACTGATTGAATCTGAGAAACCGTTTTTGTTTTCTTTGAAACAGCTTCAGTTGAATCTTAGTTGAACTCAGTTGGGACAGGAGTGGGGTGTGAAGCACATGGTGACTGTGTGTCAACTCGATCGGCTTCATGTTCTGCGCTCGCCTCAGAGACCTGGGAGGTATGGGGATGGCGATGCTGAAAGCCGATGATACCCTCTGGTAAACTAAATAGCTTTGGAAAATCACCGTGTTTAATGGCTAAACCCACTATAAATGGCCATTTTCAGTAGCTATGTTAGTTTACCAGACGATATCATTTTTGGGGTGAACATCCATAGCTGCCACCGAAAATTGCCTGATGCTGCCCATCAAAACTCAGGGTTTTGACCAGCCAGACGAGTCATGTTGCCCAGGAAAGCTCAAACCTTGCAGAAGGAAGGCTATGAGGCATACTGTAAGGGGACCGGCAAGATGCGTCCAACGAATCCAATTTACGGAACCGCAACTGTAAAGTAATTGTCCCCCTAGTAGGATGCAGAAAAGTTGACATGATTTGGGTTGGTTCGTTTTCTGCATCTTTATGTTGGGTTTTATGATGGGTTATCAAGCTCCAACTCCTTATGAAAGGGCAAAACTCAACGGCAGAAATTCTTGGGTTCGCACCATGCAACTCCCTGGATGGTCGGGGCCGTTGGACCTCCCGCAGTCTTCACCTGTTAAACAGTGGCAGATGTTGTACAAGGTGAGGCCCCAAAAAAACGAAGCAGCTACGTGTAGGTACACGTTTAACGACAGGTGAATTCTGTGGTTTTCATGGTAGATCTAACTATAAACTAGCTATGTGTACCAGGTATAATAACCATGTGTATCTAAGATATACATTGTTTGAAAATGTATATACATGATGCAAGAGTTAATGGAAAATCATTTGAAACCATTCTATACTTGATGGGATCTATAACACACCAACTTTTAACTGGGGGGCACCACCTTGTTGGTTATACTCCTGGTGCAAGTTTCATGGTTTCCGGTGATTCTTTCTAGGCGTGGCAAGTGTTCAGTCTTCGCAGTGGCCTTCCAGTTCTTCAAGTATCAAGATGTACACCATTTGGATCAAAGTTCCAAGTCTTAATTTTCCAGGAATAATATACAGTATATAATGGTGTGTATATGTACATATAATAAATAGTGCAAATATGTACATATAATATTTTCCAGTATATAATGGTGTGTGTATATATATATATGTACATATTCAAAAACCTTTCAGCCACACAAAGTGTAGCTCCATCTCCCAAGCAACTCACCCTGCAGGCGCTTCGCTTGGGTTTGGGCTACAGATCCATTCATCGGATCAATCGCTCGGCCGGGACCCTTAAGTTGCTATGCTGTCATCAAAGATGGCAGCTAAAATCACCATGTTTGATAGGAAGCTTATCTGAAAATTATATAGGAAGATAATGTGGTAAACCCAATGCCAAAATATGCCATGAACCATTCCCAATGTTGACATAAATGGGTTGTAAATATCTTCCCCGGTAGGTTAATGGCATTCAGTTAAGTACATTCAACGAGAGCACAATGGCTTGGTCATGTCAACCCATCTGGCTGTTTGAGTGTGGAAGGTGGGGCCATTTCAGTAGCCGACTATTCACTGTTTTAGGGGAAACCACCTAATTCATCAACCAAGATTAATCTGGAGTTGACATCAGATGGAACCGAAAATGTCATGTGCAACATCCAATCGGATCATGTTCAGATTAAGAAAATGGGGGAGCTCCAACTCAAGCAATGCCAACGCTGTGCCAAGGAGATCGCAAACTATATCAAAGCAGGCAGGGCCTGAACTCGGCGATGTTTTTGATGCCCAGAAACCATACTGGTTGAGGTTGGTAATCAAACGTGGCTGGAAACACCTCTGTAAATGGAGGTTGCAAGGGGACAAGCATCAGGGATTCCCATTGCCATGTTACCGAAGAGTACCTAAATGCAGCCATATTCCGCTGCTCAGCTGCGTTGAAGTTAAAATTGATTCATTGATCGTGTTAAGGGAGCGAAACTCATGAAAAAAACTATTCCAGATTTTGTTTCATACTGTTTCTTGTAGCAACGTCTAACAATTCTTGGAGCAATGTCTTTTCCTTGTTGCGGCTGCTCTGTCCATTTTTTGTCCGATTGTTGCTTGGTCATAAATGTACATCAAATCATCAAGTGCCATCCGCATTCATCCACCACCTACGGCTTCAAGGATGGTGTAGTGACTTGTGTGGGGTTGTCATAGGTTGTCACTAAAAGCATGGTCAACACCAATGTAGTAAAAATGCTTTTACTCCATAGGAACAGAGTAGTCATAGACATCAGAATCATGATAAATTTGACAGTAACTTACTAACAATCATGAAATTGTAAAGTACTAATTATCAATAATCATCATTTATATTAGTTTGTTTTTGATTGGTTTACTATGTATTAAAAACATCCTATAACTAATAATAGTATAGAATATATAATTTCCCTAATATCAATGGTGTTTATAAGCCTCCTTCATATATATTTCTATATATGGTGCTAATTATATCTAATTATTAATTATGAGTTTGTTTATAATTATTATTGTCATGTTTACATCTATATCATATATCATTTATATTGCTTTGTTATTGCTTATCATAGTATATTGTTTTTTTATAATATATTTTTTAATGTACATATACATATATATATGTACATTTTTATATATCTATATATATATATGTATATGTATGTCATCCCATTCCCCTAATATTTGTCACACCCAGTCGGCCCGCCAGGGGTAGCGCCCAAACACCATGTGGGAGAGCGGGTGACCCCAGCCTGCTGATCGGAACGGGTAAAGGTCAGCAGATGTCAGCAGCCTGTTTAATAAGCCATTTGAATAGATGGAAAAACCATGGAAAACCGATTTTTATAGATGAGAGAAACCATTTAAATAGATGGGATCAGCCATTTATAGATGTTACAATCTAATTAGATTAAATAAGCCACTTCCAGTGGTCCTTTTACTAATCAGGGTTTCCGAAAAAGCAGTTACGATCGGATGATCCAAGTGTTTGGCGATATATCGCCAGATTGGCTGGTAATTCATATCCTGGTGAATTTTAGCGATAAATTTAACGCAGATTCATCGTATAAAGGTGGGTGTCCCATGCGCTTAAAATAGTCTGTAAAAAATATTAAACATATAAATGACGGGTCTCCAGTTTTCTATGTTATAATGGTTCATTAGTTGGAGGCTATGTCATATTATTCCTATGGGTACCAAAGCGTACTTGGGTGACCTAGATGCGGAGTTACTCGGAGCGCAGGAAAGCTACGGATTCACCCGTACAAGACACAGTATGTGGGTAAAAAATTGCCATAAACCACCCATTTTCCTGGGAATGGTAACCATACCACCTATATATAAAAATGGTGATGACTGGGGGATGGTGCAAATGACATCACGTGTTACCCACATTGTAGGAAGTTTTCATAACATGTCCCTTTGTAACATCGCAATGTGGTCCCCTCCGGCTGAGCAGTGTTCAAAGATGTTCAAAACCCTGCGTCATCCCGAAAGCAGAAACTGGTTGGTTGAGAACGGGATTCCCCGTCCATGGATTGCGGTAATCCCCAATATATATATATATATATATATGGGGTAGTGAAGTTCCCTATGGTCATCAACCGGGGTTTAGAATCCACTCACCTATAGTTCATTAAAAACATGTCTAAAACAAGTCATAGCATGGCTATATCTACCATAACATATTCACGTATCTACCATATCTACCTTAGCATATGTTAGCATAGCTACAACTGTATGGAGGGCGCAGACAGCTACACCAGTAACCTGATGCGGCTTCAGGTTTCGGGTCTCCTCTGATTGCCTGCTACCAGCAGGAGCGACGAGTTTCTCGAAATATGGATTTGACATGGAACCCCAAAGATGGCAATGTCCCCAAGGAAAAAAGGTGTCCAGCAATTAGCAATGTTCAGTTTTGTACAATTTCCTAGCTTTCGGATGTGTAGGTAGTGGAAGGCCACCACGAGTAGAACATCTATCAAGTTAGCACACAGACAGCGACAGCCATGGCATGTCGAAGCCCAGGTTGAGGGATGATCAAACGTGATTTCCACTGAATCACCAACCGGAAAGATCATCCGGCTTGGCTTGAACTGACATGGGTATTGTCCGAAGTTGAGGACCTCCAACACCGATGGGTTTCACTTCTGAAACGAAGCATTTGCTGCTTCGCAATGAGGATAGCCAGCAATCTTGTTCATGTTTAATTGATATTGTTTAATGATAAATATACCTAGATTTTTTTAGTGAATATCAATTATGGTTCATTCTGGAAATCATTGTGATCGCCAAGTTTGTCGAGTGTAAAACACCATGTGCCCTGCAGGATTTCAGTTGACAGCAAGACATTTCGTCCCTGGACAGTGGGCCGGGAACTTGGGAACTTGGGAACTTCAGTCGCGGCCCACAAAAGGCGGCGGCAAACTTCAGTCGAAATGGCCATTGTCCAACCAGCCACGATGTGATTTTTGCTATGTGGAAAACTATGCATTATACTAGTTATACTATGTATGTGTTCTTTTTCCATGGGGCCCCTGCTTTTTTTCCACCTTGCATCCTGTTCTTTAAGACTTTGCCCCTGTTTTTTAAACCTTCAAAAGCCGCTCCTTGAAACTCATGTGACCTCCTGGTTTGCTGGGCCCGTGAGAAATTTGCTTTTGGCCTTGGCCTTCACTTTGGGACCCGACCAATAGTCATGGCTCATCGTGTCTTCGATTTTTGGTTCTTACCATTTCTTATCGAAACTTTGAGAATGATAAGAATAAAACAAAGTGTTTGGAACTTATTTTGTCTTTTTCCATTATTGAATCCGAATCCATTTTGGGAATATGATGGAATATGTTTGTTTTTTTTGTTGGGTGCACTGAGGATTTCCTCTTATTTTTCTACCGACTTCCATGAAACACAATTTTATGTCCCTTCGTTCCCATGTTGATAGGATCTCACGTCACACTGAATCCCACTTGTTGTGGTCATTTCGCAAAAGCCAGATCACCTGTCTCCCGAGATCTCCCAATCTGGGTGTTGAAAAAACCATAATCATCTCTTGTTGGCTGGTCCTCATATGTTCTCATCCCTTCTGCCGTTGTAATCCCCTCAAAAAGATGCTGAATTTGGTGCAGACTCATGTGGGCCGGTAATAAACCATCCCCACATGATAGGGTTATTATAGGTTCTTTAATTGGGTTGCCAACATTAAAGTTGTGATGCAGATGTGTTTCTGATCTCTTGGGGGTTGCGATACGTATCCTTACGGTTGATTCATATCTCCTGTTTTCGATGAATGTCAAGGGACACGGCCGCTCCGAGGTCTTCGTGTCCGGATGGACCAAAGGACGAGGATACCACGGTGTCATGAAACGCGTGGGCACCGAGATGGGAGATATCCCTGGTGTGCTACCAATTCGTTGGTAGTCTCAGTGGTAAGGAGATTTTTCAAAATTTGTGGTAGAGTTTGCTGGTTCTCAATAATTAATGCTTTTGCTTGAAAGATGCCAAGTTTGGTTGTTCAACCCGACGCTCGTCTGCAGGTCTCTGCAGGATCTGTCGAAAGCAACTACTGATTGAAGTGCTAAAAGATTTTTCATACACCATTGAGATTAGAGACGGAGATTTCACCAGGAATGGTAGTTGGGTGCACCTCGCGGCCTGTCGAAAGTAGAGCCAAGGGCTACCGAGCCAAGAACCATGTAGGAGCACCCCGTCGAAAGAGGCGATGTATCAAATACTTTCTGCGGCTCATATCTATTATTATGCAATATTATGCATATATGATTATATATACACATTATAGAACCCAGATAGATCCCTAGTAACCCCAAGTTTTCCAGCATGGTTTTCTATCAACCTTTGGGGGTTGCCGCCAGGTGACTCTGAAAAAACGTGACGCAAGGGTCTGAAAAAATGTGTACCCCCAATAGAATTGGCAATTTTAATACGGAAATGAATTGAACTGATGATACTTGTTTTCCCCTAAAGTTCAAGACACATAACTTATAATAACTAGTTGCTGATAAGACTAAGTCTCAAGTACAATGGCTCGATTCTCCGGCCATTTGCAGATGGGTTTCCATTGGTTTCCTTTTGGAATATTTGGGTGCGACTGTTGCAACCTGCTCCTATGAGTTTTCCTGGCAGGCATTTTAAACCATTGATTTCTAGCATCTTGGCAGTTCCTTTGCTTTCATCCTTGTTGCAACATGGCTCTCCCCAGTTATAAGTTGGTTTATAACCCCTTCCAACGTTATATACATTGACCTAATTACAAACCAAGTCACTTAAGTCTGGGGCACCACCAGATCATCGGTTATCTTACTGGTGCGTTTTACGCAGGGAATTTTCGGGAATGATCCATTAACCCCCAGCAACCCATCCATTCCCTACGAAGCACCAGTAAGTCAATATCTTTAATTAACCAAGTTTGTAGATTCCAATCTATTGAAAGTGACCTTCCAACCCATTCCCTACGTTTAGCATCATCATTGGTTATATACCCATGATATCTTCATGTGGCATCCCCATGTGGCTTCCACCTTCCACGCCAAGGATGGGGCTTCCAGGGTGGAGGATCTGACCAGCACGGGCATAAGAAGAACCACCGTTCCGCGGGCTCGTTGGGCCCGGACTCTTGGGGCATCCCAACGCCGACGTCCACTGGGTTTTAACTCACAGACACTTAGGGTATACCATATATATATATATATATGTGTGTTTGTATGTACATATATATATATAAGAAATCCCCAAATAGAAAAGTTGGAAACCTGCATCGAACTGCCATTCTGGAAGTACTTCTCGGCATTTGTTTGTGGGCGACCATGACTGGTTTTCTGGTTCTGAATCACTTCCTGCGATGCGCATCGACGTTCGACTGTGCACACCAGCCCCAATTCTTGGGCATGGAACTGCTACCAGACATGACCAGGTTGCGATGTTCGTATGGCATTGACATCCTACGTACAGTTCGTACTGTAATGATATGCAGTTATCAATGATAGCCTTTGGTAATCAGTCACATGGCTTGCTGGAAAATCCATAAGCAAAGCTTCCCGGAATGTGGTTGGACTTTCCCAACTAGCTATCTGAGGTCAGCGTGGCATCGGTAAGGTGTGGAAGTACAAGAAGATGGCGGGTCACAAAGGTGTGACGTTTTTCGTGTCTGGTGGATGTTGGTTTTCGTGCCGTCCAACATAGCTATGTTAGTTCGATGGCCCCTAAAAAGTTCGATGATTGGCCATGTTTAAATGATGATGTTCCATACTGGAGGCTTCATATGAATGTTGAGACCGGATTAAACAAAACATGATAAACCTATTGGGCTACATATTGGATTTGCTTAAAAGGGGGCCTAAGAAAACGTCAAGCATATTACCAGCAGATTCCGCACTTCTGGCGAATGAACCAATGGTGTTTTTCCCAAAACACCGACTCCCGAAATCGACGAATTACAACGAAAAACTAAGCACCTTGGGTAAAAAAATCACATTCAGGCAATCACCCTTAATGTTGGTAAAACAATGTCATAAACCATCCATTTGGGAATGGTAACCACACAACCTATAAAAATGCTGATTTGAGGGGTAGTTTATGGCATTGTTTTACCGACATTATTAGTATTTCAGGATTTCTGACGGCGAGCGGTTTTCTTTTTGGAGTCGTCGCAATTCTCTCCGTGAAAGAAACTAAAAAAGGAACCTCACAACGGCCTCATCGCTACCACCAGCCTGGGGAAACACTTATATCTACACGTAGCAATGATTCATGATTAATATGTCCGTGTATATATATATATATACATACACACTAGAATATACTAATATCATACATGTAGCAATGTCATATCCTGCCAAGACTTGGCTTTTTTGGCACGGTGTTATGATGTTTTCTGAAGGGAAATTGGGTGGATTTAAACTCGTTGGGGTTTTCAGGAATCTACCATGCTCAGGGTTGCGGTATTGTATCACTGTGTTACTTTATTATTGTGCAAAGAATGATCTGTGCACAGCATTGACTTGGCAGTCTCCAAGATGTGTATTACATCCCTGACTGTTGTAATCGAATCATTAGATGAGGCTTGAAGCTCAAAAGTTGAGTCCAGTAAAAATGAATGTTCAACGGCATGAATCTCAAGCGTTTCACCCAAGTTGAAGCATATCCAGTTGGAATGCTGGGGCCAAAACATTGGTTCATACTCCGGAGTCAGCCTGCAGTAGTCCAGCAAATCACTTGAAGATCTCCCAAGTGGTTCCATTTCTATGGTTGGTTTCTCATTGACAATTATGATGCCCCACTACCACGGCTGGATGCCAGTGGGTATCATTTGCTTCTGGCTTATGCAACCCCCTAAATTCAAGCTCGGAAACCCCACATCCAAGTGCTAGAATGATTTTCCAGGCTCAATGTGAAACTATGTGAAATTCGAGGTTCAACATATATATTAAAATATCGACCTATACAGGGTTATAGTTATAGTTGATACACTCTACTTATTCAACATCGCTTTTTTCTAGCTATCTTGGTCTACTGCTAAGCCCACTGCCGATTCGTCTACCGATTCGGACGTCTGCGCGGTCAGCGCACAGGTCCGGACCCCCGCTGTGTCAATGCCAAGGCGGTTCGAACGCGCTGTGTGGTTGGTGAATGGTTTTCATGGGCACCAGCACCAGTGTCATCATTGCCATGGCTGGAAAATGCACTAAATCATTAAAAAACGAGGTTTATAGCTGGGAAAATCATCAAATGAAGAATTGTTCATCTAGACATTGAGAAAGAGCCAACACCCCCAATTTGGGCCTATGATGATGTTTTTTGTTTGCTATGATACTATGAATGTTGGGACTGTTTGGGTGGAAACCGGATTTTGAATGTCTTGGACTTCCCTGAAATGCACCTGGACCGCAGTGCATGTGTCATCATCATAATCATCATCATCATAATCATCATCAGCATAATATTCTTAGTATTTTTAGTTTTTCACATGTTTATTATTCTTATTCTTATTATTATTCTTAGTCTTACTAATGTTCATCTTCATCTTTATTTTCATGTTCATCTTCTTTTGTGTTTTTGTTTATTCTTCTTAACTTTCATTTCATGTTCATCTTCATTTGCATCTGCATCTTCGTCCTCATCTTCATCTTCATCTTCCTCCTACTTTTTGCCTTTAATGTATGGTTCGCTGGCAGACTTAATTGGGGTCAGTCAGGCTGAGCTCCTGTAAACTCAGCCGCCAAACATGGCCAAGACTTGTGTTTTTGTTGATTTCTTTTCTATGCATGGTATATGATTGCACTATCATTCACTGGACTCAGAGCACGGAACCATTCAGTACGATCAGCCAGGTGTTTCGCATCGAAAGTGCGCGAAACTTGATTTTCCTCAAAGGACCATTGCCGGGCTACAAGGCGGGGTGATTCGTGGTACTTAGTACCCTCATGAAGCGGAAAAAAGCAACCTTTAAAAACTGTGGGTGAGTGAATTTATGCGAAAATTGCAAACGCCAAGAAAACAATGGAAATTCATGTTGGGGAAAGGGATGGAACTATTCACGTGCGAGCTAGGATTCTTGTACCACGCCTGGTTAAACCGCCCATTGGTGAAACCACCTGTGTCCTAGTCCTGTGGTGCTGAGTTTGCCAGCGAAAGTTGATGATACATCATCTAAGCATATGCGTGTGTCAATAGGCCGGTATACCCCAAAATAGTCATTTTAAATGGGAACTTCATAATAAACCATGGGATTTTGAGGTACCTTCTTCTCAGACAAAGCCATATCTGACTCACATGCTCTGGTGGCAAAGCATGTGTTCTTATTTATACTACTCTGGTTGGTGGTTTGGAACACGAATTTTATTTTTCCATATATTGGGAATAATGATCCCAACTGACTATATAATATTTTTTCAGAGGGCTAGGTATACCACCAACCAGTACTGGTTGGTCGAAAGAGCGAACGATTGGTTGATGGGCTAGCGGCGCCCTTGGGCTTTCTCTCCTACATCATGGGGATGATTTCGTGGGCTTATCCATCACAAACTCACAGGTTAGAGGATGCAAGGAAAGTCACGTACTGTAAACAAGAGCCAGACAGACAAGACAAACACACACAGACACATATCTATATCTATCTATGTATCTATATATCTATCTATATATATATATAGATATTATATATACATACATACATACATACATATATATATATATATATATTTGTACGATTATATGTGTGTATATAGAATATGAGCCAATGTGATACAATCCAAGATTATTGGTTGCCATAACCTGGCGCCATACAACAAGAGCAGTTTCCGACCAACCGGCGAAGTTTGGTGTGACGTCACACAGGGTTTCCCATAGTCACACAAGGTTGTGGTATGCATATATATATATATATATATCAATAGGAATTTCAGGAGCCTATGTAAGGTAATGTCCCCACAAAATATGGCCTTATATGGTACAGTACCTCCATTTTAGGATCCTGGAATTCCCATTGGTATATTTTTCCATAAATGAGTTGCACATCATTTATAATCCTCTCTCCCTATTACTAAAACGGGGGGACACCCCCAAATGGTAAACACGGTGATCTATTTTTATTATTAGGGGGTATTTTGTATTGGGGTGCCCTTAATATTCCAATGAAAACCTTAATAATAGAAATAAACACATGATTTCAATTTTGATTAAATCCCTTATTAAAAGTTTTGATATATATATATATATATACATAATATTGCCAAAAACTGGATTTCGAAGCTTTCCCCTAATATTCCAATGAAAACCTGAATAACAAAAATACAAAGACTTGATTTCAACTTTCGTTAAATCCCTTATTAGAATCTATATAAAACATTGCCAAAAACTGGATTTCGAAGCCTTCCCCTAATATTCCAATCAACACCTTCATAATAAAATGAAAGATAAAACTTGTGAGATGGGATCCTAATAAAAAAACGTCCAGGTACCATTCTATTTTTATTAATATTGTTTCACCATCCTGTTCTCCTATTGATTCTCAATTACTCGTTCCATAATTAAGAATCCAATTGTGCCCAACCAAAAAGAACGGCACTTCCGATTTTTTTGGTGGAGTTTTAGTAATAGGAAGAAGGGATTATGCAACATACCGTTGCAAAGAATATACCCTTTGGTAGTTTAATATAGCTGTAGAAAATTCACCATTTAGTTCGATGATTTATTTTCCCAGCTATAAACCTGAATGTATATGGAACTGTCCCATTAAATTCACCATTAAGAGAAGATTTTCCCATCTATAAACCTCCATGGCCAGGCGGGATTTTCCGGCTAAGTTCTAGGGATCCACCTTTTGAAGTCAGGGAAGCATCGTGAAGATCAGCGATGCACGTGGAAAAACTGCCCTGAAGAATCTCCACATCCGCTTGCCGCTGGGTCTTGATCAACGCAAACAATTATGTATGTATATATATATATATTAGATCGTGGCGTACATCTGGGATTTGATGTTCAACAACTTTGTCTTGGGAAGTTTTGGAATGCATATAATTATATAGTATCCATATGTTGCAACGGTTTAAGGGAACATTTACATGAAAAATTCAGTATTTTGGGGGTGCAAAAAAAATACCTGTAGATGTTCACCTGAAACGACGCTACTAGAAATGATGGTCAATAAGGGCTAACTACCCCAAAATGGCCGTATTTCAGGTCCGGTCGTGCTATGCTTGCGGGGGTGCGGCCGGCTACAAGGAAGATGGTCGTTTTTTTCAGGTTGGTGAAGGTGAGTTATCCAAATACAATTATGCATAGATGTAAGAATATAACATATACTGTGAGGGTACGCCCATGCGTCACCGCAAAACTCCCTGTTTTGGGGCCCTGGTTTTGGAACCTCATTTACATGTTGATCAAAAATTGCGCTTGCTTCTTGCTACTTTATTGTCTCCTTTCCTTGGTTGGCAGAGTTCGCTGCAGCATCATCTTATTTGAAGATGCAAAGTGTGAAATTGCCGCTTTATCAATCACCTGCGGGCTGCATATGATCCTAAGTAAGCCAGGATGAAGAATTGTCAGGCAGCTTTCCTCTTTCCATGCAAAGCCCATATAAGGGAGGCCCCACTTCCGCCAAAACAATACCAATTTCAGATGCCAAAAGCGAATCCAAAACACACCCTTATACCCGCTTGTCTTGATCATGACGATCTTTTCTTTGTTGTCGTGATGTGGATAAAAGATCTCCCATGCACTGAAGCTGATTCGAGCTTTCCAAAGCCTGCAATCGAGGCGCTTCGAGGCCCAGCGAGGCCTGACCGAGGCCACGCCTTGGACGCAAAACATATTGGCACAAGGACAAAGCGAGGCTCACGGGGACTCGAAACTATATAATATTATTGTTGGATCCCTAGCAGGGCTGAACTTGAAGAAGTTGGGAATTTTGCTGCCTTACTAGAATTTTAGGCCGCAGCTGGCGCACAGGGACGGAAGACCTGGAGGCCTCAAGGCTATGGCTATGGAAATTGCAGCTCAACAAAAAGTTTGCATGGATGAGGGAAGTCTCAAGGCAGGCCTTGAAACGCGCCTCCAGGGTCGCGAGGCTATGGAAATTCGGAACAAAACACTTCGAGGCAGGCTTCGAGGCAGGCTTCGAGGCAGGCCTGGGGCTATGGAAATTGGAGCAAAACAATATATATATATATATCACAAAGAAGGGGTCCGGTTTTGTTCCTAAAAAGGTAAGAAAAGGCAGACATGCAAACATGGGCCTCCCTAGTATTTGATCAAAAGCAGGTTCCAAAACCAGGGCCTCAAAACATGCAATTTTGCGGTGACACGTCGGCGTACCTTTAGAGTAGCGAGCATGCTGCTGATTTACTCATACATGAATCTTTGCTTTGGTATCTTCTGCAAGGAAAACATGTTTTGAGTCTTGACCGTGTCTGGTCTGCAAATGTAAAAATCTTCTTTGTTTAAGCAATTTCGCCGGCCTAGGTTTCCCCCTTCTTTGATTGAAGTTGTTGGTTTGTTGCGCACAGTTGAATTAAGATCGCTAGGTAGAAGACCATGGAATGAAGATCATGTCTACACGTCCTGGTTTGCGTCTTGGTACAAATTTCGCGCCCTGGATGGCATTTTGGTGTCCTGATTTGGGTCCAAAATTGGACCCAAATCAGGATCCCAAAATGCAGCCAAACAAAGAACATTTTTACATTTGCAGACCAAACACGGTCAAGACTCAAAACTTGTTTTCCTTGCGGAAGATATTAACGTAAAGATTCATGTATGAGAACATCAACAGCATGCTCGCTACTGTAATATAATTAATTGTATAAATAATGTATGTGTACATATTGATTTAGATACAGATATGTTCACTAGACGCTGCATTTTTTTTTGACCTAGACAGATCAATACATCAAACATCTGCAATTTACATGTCTAGACAGATAAGGATGGCCAAATGAACACTGACCATAAATAACTACATCGAATATATATATATATATACACACATACACAAATATAGAACTGATCCCAAACTAACACGATATCGCTCCGGCATTGTGCTGAAACGTCGCCATCCGGTTGGCAGCTTGGTTCCAAACTCACAATCCCGAAGATGAACATTTGGGAGCGCAGTTCCGTTTATAAGCAGACAAATACCATACTCTGCCTTTTACGAACTGGGATGCAAAACCAACTAGGAGATAATTGGCCATACTTAGATGTTGCCGCGATCAACTAAGTGATTAGCATCCCAGTTACAAGGGGTCATAAACGATTTCCCAACAAACCACTTAGCTAATTCTGGCAGCATCAAAGTAGTTCGTTGTGGGCCTCAAAGTGCGTTCTGTAAAAAGGAAGTGCAGTTCCAACTATGAGCGGATATGTCACCATAGTATACCATGTGTATAGAGTTGATATCCCAAGTTTTGGGGTTTTGTAAGCATGAAAAATAGTATCCATAACAGCAACCGCAAGCTTCGTCCCCCGAGGCCATATCCAACCTTCGTCCCAATGCCAAACGTGGAGTACCCTGTGACCCTTCAGGAGCTGTTGATGAAGCCGTAAACGCGCTTCGTTTGGGATGGTGAATTTACAGCTCTAAGGGTAGTCATGACATATGTATATACATATATATACATATGGATTTAATAACTTAATGATTTATTAATATATCTTATTTATTTATTTATTTCTATTTATTTATTTATTTATCTATTTTTTATTTATGTATGTATAATATACGTGTCTTGTGAATATATATATATATATGTATATATATATTTACATACCAAAGGGTTATCTTAATTGATACTTGAGATACTAGTCATCAATATCCATCAAAGACGATGATAGCCAACAGACTGTCTCAATTATATATCCTTAGTTTATAATTTGGTTTTGGCCAGAGATTGTGTATCCCAAGATCCACTTGTGAATCAATGTTAATTCACAACAATTCTCATTTAAACAGGCAAAGAATGGAGTTATCCACTATCTTCAGACTTTGTGGACAGTCGTTTGCCATTGTCTGAAGATGTGGCACAGTGTTTTTTTTGAATCCATGACTATGGATTCTATGGATATCAGATAGTGGTTTCCAGAAACCCATTGAGCCATTCAACATACCCCTATCCCCTCTCATCAAACTACTTGGTTGATAGGTTTCCCTACTCTATGGGCAACGGTTAGTTCATACATCTAAATACCCAGGTAGTATAATTCCATATATCATAACCAATCAACCAATGTATTTTTAAAAGCTCCATCTGCAGGAACCTCCCCCACAAAGAGATCCTTTCCTGTATCCTGAGCAACCTTTGTACCAGCGGCTTGGTGCTGACCCGGGGATGGAAGCATACAGAACCACCAATAACCACCAATCTATTGACAAATAATGGTGATGTCATGGGATATTTGGGATTTCATGAGATTATATATATATATATATACAGATACATCATTTGATAACCGCAACCTCATATACACATACATAGACATATACAGTACAGATTCACTAACCAGCTAGAAATTACAATGCATGGTATCCAAGAATGGCCACGGAGTGTTTCGCACGGGTGATAGATGATGGACATGTTGCATTATGACCTGTCAGCCAATTTTGAATCAACTTTGGGTACTCGTATTTCAAGCCACAGAGAAGAACGCATGAAATTTGACATGTAGTTCTTGGTATTCTTGAATCATGAGACCCTGATTTCGAAACTATCAGCGACGGGGGCGGCGATTGAGGCCAGATGATTGATAAATTGCATTTCATTTGACATGATTTGAAAAATATAAGAACATAATATATATATATATATCTATATATGTATATTATATTTAGATTTCAAATATTACATTTAAATATTGATTTGAGCCAGGGTCAGAAGATGGTATGTAGAGATGTTGTATTCGGCCGCCGTCACTTTTAAAAATATGTGATTTCCTGTGGGGAGCAGTAGGGAACCTTGAAGAGCGATACCCCCTTAAGTAATGCAAGTATGTTGTCATGGCAACATGCGTGCACTTTCCAACAAAACTTCTGACACCTACTGTATCTCAGCCAGCAAGACAGACACACCCACCACTCGCTCCAAGACATTCTCTCTCTATCTCTCTTTCTCTCTCTTTCTATTTTTCTATCTCTCTCTTTCCCTTCCTCCCCTCCCTCTCTCTCTCTCCCCCTCTTCCTTTCTCGCTCTCCCTCTCCTTTTCCTTTTCCCCCTCCTTCTCTCTCTCTCCTTCTCTCCTTTCTCACGCACACACACACACACAGACGCACGCACCTGCACACATGGGTGCAGGCGTGCAAATAATTTGAGGGTGTGCAAGAAATAACCGTACATGCTTTCTTCCCCATTCTTTTTCCCATGTCTGTCTTCAATGTGCAGACGAAGGAAAGATGCAAGAAGCAGATAAGGCGATGAGTAAAGACCAGAATGCCTCCGGCAATTTTTTTTTGGGGAACGATGCCTGAAGCGATGCAATTCGATACCTGGAGCGATACCCCAAATCAGCAGAAGTAGACAGAACCCCAGACTTGGAAAGAAGACGACAGCTGCTTCCGGACTTTGAAGAGCATGGTAGAAAGCATCAAAACGGCTGCGGAAAAAGTAGGGCAGCGGCAAGTGGCGGGCCTCACCGACATCATTATTTAGTTCCAGCTTCTTTACCAGCAGTGGCGAAAATTGAATGAGCGATTTCCGTCAAAAAGGGGTTGAAAATGATTTAACACTTTGAGAAGAAAATATCTTGAATTTTACTAAAAATTAACCGATAATACTAATATTAATTATTCAATAATTTACATATCTTATCATTGATTAAATTTAATAAAGAATTGTAGAGGTCTATTTAAATATATAATGTCTTTGTGTAAAAGCGTTTGTGTGTAAAAGTGTTGATGTGTAAAAAATGTTTGTGTTGGTAAAAATGTTTGTGTGTAAAAGTGTTG